GTCAAAAAAGAGATGACAAGACTGAACATCGACATCTTAGGAATCAGCGAACTAAAATGGACAGGAATGGGTGAATTTAACTCAGATGACCATCAGGTATACTACTGTGGGCAAGAATCCCTCAGAAGAAATGGAGTAGCCTTCATAGTCAATAAAAGAATAGGAAAAGCAATACTGGGATACAATCCTCAAAATGACAGAATGATCTCTATTCGAATCCAAGGCAAACCATTCAATATCACAGTAGTCCAAATCTATGCCCCAACCACTGGTGCTGAAGAGGATGAAATTGACCGGTTCTATGAAGCCCTACAGCACCTTATAGAATTAACACCAAAAAATGATGTCCTTATCATCATGGGGGATTGGAATGCTAAGGTAGGAAGCCAAAAGATAACCGGAATAACAGGCAAGTTTGGCCTTGGAGTACAAAATGAAGCAGGGCACAGGCTAATAGAATTTTGTCAAGAGAATACGATGGTCATAACAAACACTCTTTTCCAACAACCCAAGAGACGGCTCTACACATGGACATCACCAGACGGTCAACATAGAAATCAGATTGACTATGTGCTCTGCAGCCAAAGATGGAGAAGCTCTATACAGTCAGTAAAAACAAGACCAGGAGCTGACTGTGGCTCAGATCATGAGCTTCTCGTTGCAAAATTTAGGCTTAAATTGAAAAAAGTAGGGAAAAGCACTAGGCCACTCAGGTATGAACTAAATCATATTCCTGATGAATATACAGTAGAAGTGACAAATAGATTTAAGGAACTGGATCTGATAGACAGAGTGCCTGAAGAACTATGGATGGAAGTTCGCAACATTGTACAAGAGGTAGCAACTAAAACCATCCCAAAGAAAAAGAAATGCAAGAAAGCAAAATGGCTGTCTGAGGAAGCTTTGCAAATAGCTGAGGAAAGAAGGGAAGCGAAAGGCAAAGGAGAAAGAGAAAGATACACCCAATTGAATGCAGAATTCCAGAGAGTAGCTAGAAGAGATAAGAATGCCTTCTTAAATGAACAGTGCAAAGAAATAGAAGAAAACAACAGAATAGGGAGGACCAGAGATCTCTTCAAGAAAATTGGAGATATGAAGGGAACGTTTCATGCAAAGATGGGCATGATAAAGGACCAAAATGGCAGAGACCTAACAGAGGCAGAAGAGATTAAGAAGAGATGGCAAAACTACACAGAAGAACTATACAAGAATGAGCTTAACATCCCAGATAACCACAATGAGATGGTCATTGACCTCGAACCAGACATCCTAGAATGTGAAGTGAAATGGGCCTTAGAAAATCTGAGCAACAACAAAGCTAGTGGAGGTGACAGTATTCCAGCTGAGCTATTCAAAATCTTAAAAGACGATGCAGTAAAAGTGCTACACTCAATTTGCCAGCAAATTTGGAAAACTCAACAGTGGCCACAGGATTGGAAAAGGTCAGTTTACATTCCAATTCCAAAGAAAGGCAATGCCAAAGAATGTTCAAACTATCGCACCATTGCACTCATTTCACATGCTAGTAAAGTTATGCTTAAAATCCTACAAGCTAGACTCCAGCAGTATGTGGATCGAGAACTACCAGAAGTACAGGCAGGATTTCGAAGAGGCAGAGGAACTAGAGATCAAATTGCCAACATACGCTGGATCATGGAGAAAGCTAGGGAGTTCCAGAAAAACATCTACTTCTGCTTCATTGACTATGCAAAAGCCTTTGATTGTGTGGATCACAACAAATTGTGGCAAGTCCTTAAAGAGATGGGAGTACCAGACCATCTCATTTGTCTCTTGAGAAACCTATATGCGGGTCAAGAAGCAACAGTGAGAACCGAACACGGAACCACTGATTGGTTCAAAATTGGAAAAGGAGTCCGGCAAGGCTGTATACTGTCGCCCTGCCTATTTAACTTATATGCAGAGCACATCATGAGAAAGGCAGGGCTAGATGAATCAAAAGTTGGAATTAAGATTGCCGGGAGAAATATCAACAACCTAAGATATGCAGATGATACCACTCTAATGGCAGAAAGTGAAGAGGAACTAAAGAGCCTCTTGATGCGGGTGAAGAAGGAGAGTGCAAAAGTTGGCTTGAAACTCAACATTAAGAAAACCAAAATCATGGCATCCGGCCCTCTCAATTCCTGGCAAATAGATGGGGAAGAAATGGAGGTAGTGACAGATTTTATTTTTCTGGGCTCAAGATCACCTCAGATGGGGACTGCAGCCAAGAAATTAAAAGACGCTTGCTCCTGGGGAGGAAAGCTATGGCAAATCTAGACAGCATACTAAAAAGCAGAGACATCACCCTGCCAACAAAAGTGCGTATAGTCCAGGCCATGGTTTTCCCAGTTGCAATGTATGGCTGTGAAAGTTGGACCATAAGAAAGGCTGAGCGCAAAAGAATTGAGGCCTTTGAACTATGGTGCTGGAGAAGACTCCTGCGAGTCCCTTGGACTGCAAGGCGTTCAAACCGGTCAGTCCTAGAAGAGATCAACCCCGACTGCTCTTTAGAAGGCCAGATCCTGAAGTTGAAACTCAAGTACTTTGGCCACCTAATGAGAAGGAAGGATTCACTGGAGAAGAGCCTAATGCTGGGAAAGATTGAGGGCAATAGAAGAAGGGGACGACAGAGAATGAGATGGCTGGATGGAGTCACTGAAGCAATAGGTGTGAATTTAAATGGACTCCAGAAGATGGTAGAGGACAGGAAGACCTGGAGGAACGTTGTCCATGGGGTCGCGATTGGTCGGACACGACTTCGCAATTAACAACAATCACATAAATGAGCAAGATATGAATTTGGAATCAACAAGTGACCTCAGTTTTAATTTCTGTTTAGTGTTAGCTAGTAACTGGGTGAACATGTGCGTAATTACTGAATATTTCTCCAATTGTGGTGGTCCAAGTCATTGACAGTTGAAAGTCTTGAACTAAATAGCTAAAACTTACTGGCAGAATGAAATAGATTTAATTGCATGAGATACGAATTTGATAATATTTACTTGGCTTAGATATAAAACAGGCTCAACAGAAATAGTAATAAGTCCTTATGACAGATCAGACAGATTTGTCTTGTTATAAAATACCTTATTTTTCCTTGGTTCGCCCTAGGAAAGCTCTTAATATGAATCTGCATCCTAGTAGTTCCCTTGTTATTAAATATGCTAGTATTTTTAGTATGTCTATTACCATAATTATATAGTAAGCTTTCATAGTAGATTAGATCAGGGGTGTCAAATTGCTGGCCTGCAGGCTGGATGCGTCATGGCGAAACTGTGCCCACCCCATTGCCAGCAATGGAAAAATGTCACGATACATCGCGACACATCACGTGACATTGTGAGTTTGACACCCCTGGAGTAGATCATCAAACTCTTAATGCAATTCCCTGCTATAGCTACTCCGGTAGCTCCTATAGGAGCTATACTCCTGTACCTACTCCTATAATAATTTTTATTCAGAAGAGGCCAATTACGGCTGACATAATTTAGCACTACTGTAGTCTGATATAGTGATATCTGAATTATTGAAGCAATGTAAAAAAATAGACCATGAAGGCATATAAAAACAATATTTTCTTTCTTTAAAATATGTGCTTGCAAGTAAATGTATTATTCATTTATTTTGTTTGGCATAAATGTGCATTAACAAATGAAACACACTATAAGCCAACAAAATAAATAAGGCAACATTTAAAGCACTCTAAATAGAAAAAGCAGCATAAAAAGATAATGAGGAAATAGTTCCAGAATTTGGCCAAGTATTATAAACAGGAAGAATTCCACTTGGAAGCAGCTACAACCGAGATCAAAAGTAGTGTTGTGGTGAATGTCTGTCTAAATTTTAAACCGAACAGGGAACATAAGAAAATTAGCTTGGCTGATAAGTACTGGCTGAGTTTATACATTGCAAGGAACCTTAATTATCACATTTTAATGCAATGTCTGAAATGTATTCCGGAGGATAAACTTAACTTCTTTCAGTGAAGGTTGATATGGGACCAGTTCAGGAAGGGGGCTGTGGGGGAAAACAACTGATAGCAATGTAGCACATCTCCTATTGATACTTCTATTGCCTGCATACAGAAATTTCCACTATTGTAGCAAGCACCAACAGGGTGTTTTCATTAGCAACAGGCCCATGAGGCACCTGAAACTGTGGGGAGCCTCACATTCACCCACTTCAAACTCCCTGCATTTGGTTCGCAATCTTTCCAAACGGGTACAGGCAGAAAGTATGTTTCCACCTGACGGTTTTAAGAGAAGGGGAAATGTAGGGAACGCTTTAAAAAAGGTAGAATTGGGAGGATGTAGAGAGCATGATATTCTATGTACTCTGTGGGCTACTTTAGGACCTGCACCACTGAAGATAGCGTTTGTAAAATGACCACCACCACGATCTGTTTCTTTGCCTTTAACTAAAAATATTAATTTATTAGAAACTATTTCTCAGGTTTTTTTTTTTAAAAAACAGCGTTCTATAGTATTTGGCGCAAAAAAACCCCGTTTACCCAATTGCATCTTTTCTGAGCTGCAGTCTGTAATGTATAATTGTAGTACCGTTGTGTAGTATGTGTGTGTGTGTATGTATGTATGTATATATATATATCTTAAACATTGCTAAAAATCACAAAAAAACACGATTTTTTTTAAAAAATAAAAGCATATTATTGAAAACTATTTTTCTGGAAAGCGAAGCTAAAATTGGACACTAGTGGAAAAAACCGAGCTCGGTTCACGAAAAAGGGTTGCACAATAAAGGATCCACCCCGTCGCGAGGTCTGGAACTCCGCCCGAGACCTTTTTCTTCCTTCCCCACCACGTTCCAGCCAGAAAGCCATCACGTGCAGAGAAGGGAACTGCAACCAACTGAAGGGTGACCTCAGCCCGGGAGCTGCATTCACAGCCTCTGCCTCCAAACCCTAGTTTCTTTCCTGAACGTTAAGCCTCCCTCCACCCCCCCCACAACACGTACCTACATTTAATTAACTAATCACACACAGAGAGAGAGAAAACGGGGTGCCTATTTTCTTGCTCGCGCTTGCTTCTTTCGTCCGGAGCAATCGCTGACTCTGCCCTTAACAAACATGGCGGCGTCGGCACCACTTCCTTTTCTCAAGCGGACGAGGCAGTGGGGTGGGGATAAGGCTAACCCGGAAGGGGTGGCGATCTGGTGCTTGCTGTGCAGCTGCTTCTGCTGCTGGGTCGGGGAGAGGCAGCTTGGCCGAGCCGGGCGCGCTCTCCCTCCTGGGTGGATTTCTCGGGTGGGCGTGAAGAACTGGCTTCCTTGCCGTGCTGAGGGGCTGGGCTGTGGAGGGAAGAAGAAGGCGGAGCTGGTGTCTGAGAGCGAGAGCAGCTCCCGGCCGCCTCTGGGTTAGTAGGGTGGAGAAGGACGGGAAAGCCGCCTTGAGCCTCCCCCCTCTCGGTCTCCTTGCGCCGGAGCATCCTTCTCTGGGCAGGGTCGAAGAAGAGCCGCCGCCCCGACTTCCTCCCGAGGAGACCGGCGCGAAGCCCTTCGCCTCCCCAAGCACTTGTTTACACGTCCCGGAGAGCTCGGGCGAGCCTGGCTACGCCTCCGCCTCCGGCCGCCTTCCTCGCCGGCGTCGCTGTGAGCGAACTCTCCCCTCCCGCCATTGAGAAAAAAACACGTTTTTGTCTTCTGCCCGGCGCTCTCTGGCGTCTCGGCTCCGACTTGCCCTTGAGGAAAAGTTTCCTTCCAGGCTACTGCTGAGGATTGTCCCTTTGTGAAAGGGGGTTGATGACATTTGTGTTGCCTTTTGGCCTGCCCGGCTGTGGCACTCGTGCAGCCCTGACTTGCCACCTCCCACCCCGGTGGGCGGGGGTGGTTTCGTTTCTCCGGCCATGCAAAGTGGGGAGCCCATGCCGGCAGCTACGGTTACCGCGATGAAAGTGTCGGAGAGCGAAGGCAAGCTTGAGATCTTGCTCCCAGCCCAAAACTGCTCCAGCAAGTCTAGCAGCAGCAGCAGCAGCGGTGGGCTTAACAGCAGCCGAGGAGGAAGCAGTAGCAAAGTGTGGCAATACAGGTAGGTACTATAACTGGAGCCGGGGGGAGGGGGGGAAACAACAGCTAGGAATCCAAAGTTGACTGGCTGGGACTTGCTTTTGTAATCGGGAGTGAGATGGTGAACATGCACTTTCAGAAAGGATCGAAGAAATGGTGGCAATGCTTTGTCCCTCTCCCTTCAAAATCCTACGTGCATTCTAATTTATAGGTCATGCTCCTGGCAGTGAGAACAATAGACCGGTGGAACGGCTTGCCTTCAGAAGTTGTGGGTGCTCCATCCCTAGAGGCTTTTAAAAAGAGGTTGGAGAGCCATTTGTCTGAAATAGTATACTGTCTTCAGCTTGAGCAGGTGGTTGAACTAGAAGACCTCCAAGGTCCCTTCCAACTCTGTTATTCTGTTAAATGCATTACTTTGTGCTTTTCCAGGTCGGGAATTGTATTTTCAAAAAATTGTCTCTGAACCTCCAACAGGGAAGCTGAACCCTTCAGTCCCCCACCCCCCATTTCAGTTGTGCCCAATTTTCAGAGACCACCTGGTCAAGTCTTTGTAATTTTCTTGGCAAACTTTTTCAGAAGTTTGCCGTTGCCTCATTCCTAGGGCTGAGAGAAAGTGACTGGTTGACGGTCACTCAGCTGACTTTGTGCCTAAGGCTGGACTATAACTCACCATCTCCCAGTTTCTAACCTGATGCTTTAACCACCACCACTAAATGGGCTTGCTTATCTTTCAACGTTATCTAATATGTCTATATGTTTCAAAAAGGAGATAATTAAAGCTAGTCATAAATGGTAAACAGATAAGTGAGAACCACTTGAGAAAGAGCAGTAGGTCAGAGGGCTTTGATGTGCTTCCCATTTTTCAGAATGTGAGTTTGATTTTAAAATGTCAGAACCACTATATACAGGAAGAAAAACGAATATTATAATCAATTAATGCTTCTTGCTGTTGTGTATAGTGTGTTTTTGCAGAAATGTCACTATTCAGAGAGAATATTTGTATAAATAGCCTGAAATACGATACACGTCATATGTTTAATATATTTGTATCGTATTTAATTATTATATGTGCAGGTATTTAGTTACTGCATATGTAGCAAATGCCAATATGGGATAGTCTTTTGTATTTCCATTGTAAGAGTCATTTATGTTATGTATTTAGGTGTGTTAATGAATATAGGAAATATAAACACAATGAAATAACCAATAAGCTGTAGGTATACTTTTGTGCCAAGTCACAATTTTCTTTAGATAATAGAATGATTGCTAAATTTACACATTGTATGAACCAGAACCAAGTTAATTTTTTATGGTCATTATTTGGGACAGCCGATCAGTGAGGTATGCTAGAACTGGAATTACTTCTTAAGTGTATGTTTGTGAGTCACCAAATCTGGCACTGGAATTTTTGAAGTAGGTCAGTATGCCTGTTTTCAGCCAAAGCTCATTTTCAATCTGGATTGTTTATATTTCATTTAATCCAGTAAAATGCAAATATATTTTTGTATAATGGATTAAAAACAGAGAATGAGTTTTTGTTCTCCCTTAGGAATGAAAGCCAGCTGGATGACCTGGTCTACTCACTCTCTCTGGACCCAACACAACTCATAAGGTGGTTGTTGTGGAGAAAAATAGGCAGGGATATTATTTGGTTCCTTGTATTGTACAAAATGAATAAGAGTATGATATACATTTTTTCTATTTTGATTGCTATAGATATGCCAATATAAAGTTTTACTTGTTGCATCCACAATTGTGGATATTCTTCAATATTCTGTAATCTCACAGCTGTTTTGGGTACGATTTATTATTTCTCAAATTTTACCCAGTTTAAAATTTAGCTATTTTTATTAAATTTAAGCCAAAATGATTTAAACAAGCATTTGTATTTTAATTACGTAATACTATAGAATGGGCATTTAAAATATAAACACACTAAAAATTCTGCTTATAAAATATTTTCAGCTACTGGTTAATTAGCACTTGTCCTAAAAATTTCACATTTGTGTTAAACATTTTCTTTCCTTCTAAATATAAATATATGCCCTTTTCCTTAAAGAGAAGAAAGGAACTCATGTTAATGTGTGCTTTTTCATTTATTTCTAATTTTTCTACTATTGACTAATATAGCTGTACATAATACGTGTCTCAAGTTTTATAATGAAACAATGCAGATATTTTAAAATGCATAAAAATTTATAGAATAAAATAGCAATTACAATAAGAAAATAAAGCTATCAACAATTAAAAGGCTGTTAAAATATGTTTTTAAAGCATTTTAAATTGTCAACAAGGTTAGCTTTCTTAATTTAGTATAGAGTGCATTTTAGACAAAAGAGGTGACTGTAGAGGATGTAATTGAAAAATTGATCATTTAACATTTATGGACATCTATATGAACCAATCTATTCCAGTTGAATTATAATTTTATCAGAAGTTAAATAACATTAAAATGATTTAGCAATCTAAACTTTAATTAGCTGCTAGATTTGCCTGGCTTTTGAATCAATGCTGTATGCAAGTTAGTTGTAATTTCAAAATATCTATTAAATTAATTTCTAAATTGTAATGTTATAATTAAGATTACAGTCATATCCACATGTGCTTTGTCTTAGAAATCTACATTTTCAGAAAATACAATATTCCCTCTGGGGTTTTTTGGTTAGATTTGTGGTTTAAAATAGTGGTGAGAGAGTATTCATAGGAGATGTTGAAAAAATGCTGGAATATTGGTTATATTCTAATTTGGCCTTTCTACAGCATGTTGATTGATTAATTGCTGTCAAGTTCCTCTTGATATTTAGTAACTCATTTCTGCCTAAAATGGTTTGCAACATAATAGAAGTAATTACCAGTATCCATAGATTAACAGATACAGTCAAAATTAAACCAATCAATTCAGTCAGCATCAATTAAAATAATACAAATAAACTGCAGTAATTCATGGTTTGAATTAATTGAAAATAAAAATGAAAATGGACTAATTTCAGAAAGAAAATCTTCATTCTGCAAAGGAAATTAGGCCCCTCCACAGTTAACCATAGACACATTGACAGATATATCACTTGTCTATGGTAGACTTCCCCCATGGAGAAAAGAGATGGATCTCTTCTGTCTAGTTAACAATGGCTATGGGGAAATAGTTAATTTTCCACTGAGCCTTAAATCTCAGAAGATTTACTATGAGCCAATAATTATTTCTTTATCTTAAGCTACTTCATTGAATTTCTGATAGCAGAATGAGAGCAGAATTGGAATGATGTGCACTGTTTTTTATAGAAATAAAAGATCCCATGCTTTTTTTAAAAAAAAATACATCTTGGAATAGTGAATCAATTAGTGTACAAAATGTATCTAGAGAAATGTAAAACAGAATAAATACAGTACATTGCTGAAAGGACACATAAATTTTTACATATAATAAATGAAAACTATAAAGAAATAGTTGATTGTACAATATTATTTATCACAATATGCCTCAAGTCAAAAGTGTAATGTTGTTTGCAGTTCTGAGTCCTTTTGTAAAAATACAAGATGATTCATGTTTAACTTGTCTGGTAATTGAAAGTCAGTTTAAGCAGCCTGTCAAATTTATCAGCAATAGGTGCCAGTAAAGGGAAAAAAAACCTGTTGTTATACTTGAATGCTCTAGACATGAGATTAGAAAATCTAAAACCATGAAGTCTGACACCCAACACAGTTCCCAAAATAGTACTTCACACTTGGCTTTGATTTACATTTTAAGCAAATATCCCATGTGAAAAAGCTAGAGGGGGGAAAGTGCAAAAATTGATATTTTGATTTTTTTCCCTCTAACTTGAATGCAAATGGAAATTACAATAGTGTAGTTACAATAACTGTTCTGTCACCTTCAGGCATTTGAACATGCATACTGCAAAGAGAACTGTAGGGGACAATAATACAGTTATATTAACTTGAATCTGAAATTTAATCTCCTTTTGATAAGAAACAGCTCTGCATCTACCTGAAATTGCATGGCTTGTTGAATTGGAGAGTGATGAAAAAGAAGCTTACTCTAACTTTAATTTTAAATAAAAGCCCATTTTTGAGTTTAAAAAGATTGTGTTTCAGGAGGACTGTGTAGATGCATCCTATATAGTTGCTCCTAGTTGTCAGTGGATGTAGCTAAACTCACCAGAAATTGAGAGGGGGGGAAACTCTTTTGTTTCAGAAGCGGAACTCCTACCTTATTACTCCTCTGATAGAATCTAAAACCATTGTTTGAAATGAATTTCTAATTCCTGAGTTTCTAACAAGAATGACAAATCAGGATATGGTGTTGACCATAATGAGAGTTTATGATTTCTGAATAATTCAGCTTTATTTGATGGTGAAAAGAATTATACCAGCAGGATTTAATGTATATGAAGCTGCTGAATCGATGAATTAATTTCCTACTATTTGACAATGCATGTTTCAGTAAAGCTCAATAAAATGTTCTAGGTTTCATCTTTTTTTGTTGTCAGGTTTCAGCAGTGGTGATTTATTTCCCTTTGGGATAGATTAATACGTTGTCATCAAAAACTTTGAGAATTACAATATATAACCCAACTTGACAGTATAACATTTGTAGGCACCATGTGATTCATCACAAATGGTAGACCTCAAAATTAACCTAAAATGGCCAAAATCTTGCAAAATTTTGATATTAGTACTGTACTTGTGAGATTTTGGATAGGCATGGCAATAGCTTCCAAATTTTATGAATCTCATATGAGTATAATTATTTAAAAAAATTGTCTTGATCTTGTTTCTCACACCACATACCCAGCACAGTATCACATGGAACATTAGTAATGCTCAGTCTATGGGATGGAAACAGTGGTTTTATTTAATAAACTATGATTAAATGAATTGACACAATATCTGCATCATATCAGTCTATGCAAGTGATGGCAAAGCTATGTTACATGTATCATAGGTGACAAGTCATAACATTGTGGGTGAAATGTGAGTATTCATCAATAACCAGTGACAATTATTCTTGTAGGCAGCCCTATTATCTTGTGAGTTTGGAGGCTGTGTGAGAAAAGGGTGGCAGCCTTTGGAACCTCTAGATGGGGGGGGGGATGTAATTGTTTCTCTTTGTTGGGGGGGGAGGCAGTGTCAAGTTACGCATTTTCTGAATTTTTACTCACTGAGCCCAAAGCTTTCTTATCACTGGTATAAGCTGTGTCAAGACTTCCAGGAATGTAACAATGATATTTTGTAACTGAACTTGCTTTCTAAACTCATCAACTTAGATGGCCTGGCAGAAGTCAATGACATTTAGTTGACCATCTGTATAGACCAGGGGTAGGCAACCCAAAACCCTTAAAGAGCCACTTGGACCCGTTTCCCACCAAAAACAAAACACTGGGAGCCACAAAACCATTTTGATATCTAAAATGAAGATAACACTGCATATATCCTTTTTTACCTTTATTATGGGTGTGTGTGTGTATGTGTGTTTGTGTGTGTGTATGTATGTGTGTGTATATATGTATACATACATACACATACACAAACACACACACAAACACACAAACACACCCACACCCATAATAAAGGTAAAAAAGGATATATGCAGTGTTATCTTCATTTTAGATGTCAAAAGGGTCTCTCTCTGTCTCTCTCCCTCCCTCTCTATCTGCCCTTGGTCTGCCACTCCTCTTCCCCCGCTCTCCTTCTTTCTCTCTCTCTTTCCTCTCTCTCTCTCTCTCTCCCTCCCTCTTTCTCTTTCTCTCTCTTTCTCCCCCCCCCTCCTATCTGCTGCTCACCTGGCAAGCTTCAAGCTGTTGTCCAACAACTCAGGGGTAAGCAACCTCATCTCTTTTATGACTCATGGACTTCAACTCCCAGAATTCTTGAGTCAGCCTAGCTAGGCTAGCTAGCTCTCTCCTGCCCTTCCTGCTTCCTGCTTCCTGCAGAGATGCAGCAAAGGGGGGAGCTCCGCCCAGTAATCTTTTCAGCTCCTCGGAGAACACTGTGAGTGCACTCTCTTTTACACATACACACAGACACACACACACACACAAAAACACAAACAGAGAGAGAGAGAGAGAGAGAGAAGCAGGGAAGCGCAATTGCCTCTCTCTGTCTCTGTCTCTCTCTGCAAAGGCAGAGGAGGCTGGAAGCCACAGGGGAAGGCTCAAAGAGCCGCATGCAGCTCCGGAGCCGCAGGTTACCGACCTGTGGTATAGACAATACATTTTTTTTTTCATTTTAGTAGGCAGACATTCCATCTTGGCTCTTTAAACCATAGTACTTATATAGATAAACATACTTTTATCTATTTCAAAAAAATACATCATTTTTAAAAAGATGTTCCTAACATTAACTCAGGCCTAGGAAGGGTGGTGTCTAAAGAAGTAAAGAAAAAGTTACAGCAGTAGAAGCTAAATTGTTAATTTTTTTTTTATTGGCATCTGCTTAAAATGCTGTCTGCAGAATTTGGTAGGCTGCAGATACTAGAAGGACACTATGCATTTATTGCAGGCAAGAATACATAAAAATACAGCCTTCCATCTCTGCATGAACAGCTTGCCAATGTACAGCCTGTGAATCTGTAAATTCTTTCCCTGCAGTAGGCTGATCTAGACATAAATTTGCTTTAAAAGAATGCATAAATGGTTCTTAAAGACAAAATACTGTAGTGCAGATTTCTAACTTTTGCTCCCGTGAGGCCTATAGTTTTTGCCACTATTTCTGATGAGCAGAAAGAATTGTTATTCCTGTATCTTAGATTATTTTTAAGAATCATCACATTTGGACTTAATTGGCCATATATTGCAAACTGACCTTGACGAAGGTTCTTGAACAGGTGAAGTTCTTAAGTAGATGGTTTAACTTGCGACTGAAAAGAAAAAAAAAAATAGATCCTATAACTTAAAATGCTCAGTTTGTTCTCTTTAGAGAGATGGTCCTCGACTTACGACCACAATTGAGCCCAAACGTTATGTTGCTAAGTGAAACCTTTGTTCAGTGAGTTTTGCCCCATTTTACGACTTTTCTTGCCACTGTTGTTAAGTGAATCATTGCAATTGTTAAGTTAGTAACACGGTTGTTAAGTGAGCTTGGTTTACCCATTGACTTGGCTTGTCAGAAGGTCGCAAAAGGTGATCACATGATCCCAGGACACTGCGACCATCATAAAGATGAGCCAGTTGCCCAGCGTCTGGATTTTGTTCAGGGGACCATGGGGATGCTGCAATGGTCGTAAGTGTGAAAAACAGTCATAAGTCACTCTTTTCAGTGCCGTCGTAACTTTGAATGGTCACTGAATGAACTGTTCTAAGTCGAGGACTACCTGTATATAGGAATTGAGAATTGGGAAACAGCAGTATGTCAATGATACAACATAAAAGTTCTACGCGGAAGGCCCCAGTTTCAATCCCTTGCATATTTGGGTCAAGCTAGGAATAAGTTTGAACAGTCACTTCAAGCAGGATAGGGAAACTTCTAACTTGCAGGACCTTCCCATTCAACCTAAGTAAAATTTCTCCTCTGCGCACAGGTAGTCCTGTACAGGTAGGGATGCGCTAATGGCCATAAGTGTGATAAACAGTTATAAGTCACTTTTTTCACTCCATTGTAACTTCAAATGGTCACTAAATGGAACTGTGGTAAGTCAAGGACTACCTGTACTGGTCATGGAGAAGAGACTCAGATTTGTTTATTTATCTTTTCCATCACCATATTGTCTGCATGTAGCTTTGTAAAAGGCAGCCCAATTCTCCATGCATGGAGAGGAATAGAATGCTTTAAATGTAGAGGAAGTTCTTCTTCTTTTTTTAATTCCATGGACATATTGTTTTGTTTCCGTGTGTGCAAATGGAAAAGCCTTTTCTCCATACAGCAGCGGTTCTCAACCTGTAGGTCGCGACCCCATTTGGGGTCGGACGACCATTTCGCAGGGGTCGCCAAACAACGCAGTCCGCCATTTTTTCCCCTTTTCCTTAGCTGTGCTACTCCCTTTTATTCTATTGGCTTTTGAAAGCCAATAGAATAGACTCTATTGAATAGAGTCTAATTCTATTGGCTTTCAAAAGCCAATAGGAATTGTCCAGGCTGTCTCTGCCCTGCTGAGCCCGCCAAAAGCCCCAGTCTGCAAACGGTGCTGCAAGTTGTCTGCAGCGAAGGCGAGCTGTCTGGAAGCTTCCACCCCTCCCTGCTGAGCAAGTACTAAAAATGTAAGTAAAAGAGGGCTAGGGGTGGGATGTGGGAGGCCGGCGGGCGCAGGGAGGGTTGCTGGCGCACGTGGGGCCCGGCGGGTGCCTTACCTCCCTTGGGCTGGGCCAGCTGGCGGTCCAGCTGGTGGTCGCCCTGCGCCGTCGCTGCCCCTTACCAGCTACGTCTCGGCCGGCGCAGGGGGCAGCACCACCCATGCGCGGCACTCCCGGGCAGGGAAAGTCCTCGACTTACGACCGGTTGGGTAGTCCTCGACTTACGACCGGTTGGGTAGTCCTCGACTTACGAACGGTTGGGTAGTCCTCAACTTACGACCAGTTGGGGTCATGGCATTAAAAAGTTTGAGAACTACTGCCATGCAGAGATAAAATATTGATTCAACTGTGAAGAAAATGTCTTGTTCTTGACAGTAAAATCAGTTTCCTCATCGGTCGTTTGAAAGAAGCTTTGAACTTGACAGTGGTATCATGAAACATTTGGGAGGTGTCCTGTGAGACAATGAGCCATATATCCCAAAACAGTTTTTCAAGGGAGGTTAAACTAACTGGACAGTAGTTTGACTCAACATAAGGCATCTTCATATGATTGTATTCCCCATCTGGCACTTTGAAATGTCCTTTGCCATTGCTATCTGGAATTATATGAAATGCTGGCAGTGCATATTAGAAGTAATATTTTGAGTCATTAAAATTTTCCAAAGAGATTGCTTTGCACTTGCATGTTTCTCATTTACAAATGACTTGTTATTGAAAGGTTGATGTTAACCTTGGAGATATGAGACATAGAAGGGAATATAACACAGGGAAGAATCGTGTGGAGTCCATATTGATTTATGGCTGATAGTAGGTGATCATATTAGCTTTGTAAACATGCCTATAAAAATTATTAGGCTCATGCATTCTTCTCTTTGTTCAGAGGCAGAAAGAAAAGAATAGATCTTCACAGCAGGCAAAGGCTTCTGAAATCTTGAGAAAATGTACTTTTTATCAATTTCTTTCCTATCTTATACAAAACACCCTTTCTACTTTTTCTCACCTTGTATGTCACTTATACAAGTGCTAGCTCTGAATACCAAATAGTCCAGTGTGCAGACTCTCATTTCTCTCTCTCTCTCCCTATTCATTCCCCTTCTCTAACATATTGGCTTAGAAATGGAAGAACAAACCAAGGCACCTTGTTATTTGTATAAGCAGTTTCCTGGTTCATAACAGAGTGCTACTTTTTAAATGTCCCTGAGGATGGAAATGATAATGGTGCAGAAGTTTAGCATTTTAATGTAGGTATATTTTAGCATCTCCATCTCCAAAGTGGCAAACAGAAATCTTACTGTATCTGAAAAAGACAGTTGTTTTTAAAGTCATATTGTACATTGGAAGAAAATTTTGAGAGTAGGTTACAGTAAAAAGTAAAGGTGAAGGTTTCCCCTCTATGGTTGTGTCCGACTCTAGGAGGTGATGCTCATCTCCTTTTACTAGCCAAGGGGGCCAGTATTATTCTTTCCATGATCCTGTGGCCAGCATGACTGTATGTAGAGGCACACGGAATGCTGTTACCTTCCCACTAAAGTTGTACATATTATCTGTTTGCATTTGCCTGCTTTTAAATTGCTAGGTGGGCAGGAGCTAATGCAAAAATGGTAGTTTACCCTATCACATAGTACTTGGCTTTCAAACTGCCAGATTTCTAGTTGACAGCCCAACATCTTAACTGTTAGGTAGCTCTTCTATTTAGTCAGATATGATAGAAGAGGTTAGCATGATTTCCAGGCCAAAATCATACTTACAAAAGATTAAGCACACATTAGTCTACTACAGTTGCTTCCTCAGAGCACCATCTAACTAAATCCAGTATTGAAATGCATTTTGAATCCTTACATATAACTGACTTGTGTTCAGATATGTTGCATTATTTAATGAAGGCTCTTTGGGGTGAAATAAAAAGGAAAAAAAATAAACCAGTGGGTCTTGGCTCCAAACAGTTCTGCATATCTTCATTTTGAGCAAAGCATTGGATGGAAAAGGAAAAAAAAGAGCTCCAAGAACTCAAGCTGACTTCTATTTAACTGAAAGCTTGACATAGCTCTACAACTCATCTAGGCAGCTGCAGGGGTGATGCCAGTGGATCCTGCTAATAAGGCATTATCAATTTTTCAGTTTCTTGGCTCTGTCATAATAAATAACTATCCATAGAATGGAATCTTCAGCTCTTTTCAGGTTGTATAATATTAAACTTACATTTCTGAGCAAAGATGCTTAGACATTTAGTAATTCTACCTCCAGGTTATCTAGAGATGGAAGATGTTTTTTTGCTTGGGTTATTTTTGAGGGACCAAACATAAGTAGAATTGGATAGTGTGCCTTAGATAGGTTTGAGAAGTGTAATGAATTATCCATTCTTTTCTGTCACAGGGGATAAAATTATCAGTAAGTATTGGTGATAATAGGGTTACTCATTACCTCCGGTTTCAGAGATAGTATACCTCTAAATAAAAATTGCTGGGGAAAAAATACTTGAATGGTAGTTTTGAATTTAGTTGTTTTGGGGGTTTCTCAGAAGAAAAACAGAGGCCATCTGGAAAGGGTGGCTACCATTTATAGATTAGATAACCTTTGGACTGATTCAGCGTGTTGAAATTATATAGAATATTTTAGAATATTATATAGAATATTTTAACAAAGTACTTTTTAAAAGTTGCAACATACTAATGAATGTACGGTATTTCTCAACGTATGTTAAAACTTAAATTAGAAAATCAGTTGTATGAGAGAGGTAACTGCAAATCTGATTTTTCTTGATGGAGAATTGAGATGAATGGACTATCTTTAATTTGACTCTTCATAAGGTTACCTGTGATATTGTTGATAGATTAAAAATGAAGTCATTTACATTCACAGAACAGCATAAAACTGAACTGAGTTGAATAATTTTGGAAATAAAAAAATAAATAAAGACTGTGGGGAAAAAAACCAATGAATCAGAATTCCATGTGCCAACTCTGCAGTAACAAGTTACTTCATGGAATTCCATAGATAAGACAGGAAAACTCCCCTTTGTTCATCTTCTGATACTTTTGTTTAAGCTATAGGTCATATTTGTAAATTGTGCTAAGGCTTGTTCTGGTTTGCTTTTCTGTGGCTTATTTCATGTCCAAACCTATTTGGACATGAAGTGGAAGAAAACAAACTGTAGATGGAAGACAAGCCAGCAATTTCATGGCCGATGCAGCAAATCAGGATGAACATGAAGCAGGATTTAATACTAGGTATGGATATCAATAAAGGAGAATATTTGTAGCTCAAGGTTGAAATGAGGTATGAATATGTCTATCGCGGGAGCTGTTAATAAAGCTACTCTCCATGAATTAATCTACGGATCTGTAAAAAGTTTTATCCCCAAACTATGAATTCCTTGTTATACATGTATGATAAAATGTTTAAAAATATTAATTTGTTTTAATTAAATTATTATTATTATTTTGCCCAATATTGCAAACAATGGGGAAACCTTTGGGTAGTTTTTCCATATCTCCATATTATTTTTTTCCCTCCTTTTCTACATGTCTTTTCATTTTGAGGGAAATGCTTTAAAATAAATTTTTTGAAAAGAGTTTTAAATTCTTGTAGGGAAGGATTTTGGGTGATTCCCCTCACCCCCCCTTTTCTGCCTCAAAATCTTTTTCTTCCAGATCACATTATCTGAATCAGACATGATCAAATGGGGCTGTACCATAAATTTATTTGCAACATTATGATACCCTTTTATCTTCATTTCCTTTTCTAATAGTACTCCATAAAGTTGAATGCACATCTTTTTTTAATTGTTGCAGCATTTATGTGATGCAGTTATCTAGATCAGTGTTTCCCAAACTTGACAATTTTAAGGCATATGGACTTCAACTCCCAGAATTCCACAGCCAGCAACGCTGGCTGTGGAATTCTGGGAGTTGAAGTCCTCATGCCTTAAAATTGTCAAGTTTGGGAAACACTGATCTAGATGAGTACTACAAGATGTTTTCCTTTGGAGTGACAAACAGTTCTGACCATTGTAAATCTAAATTTACAATTATTTTCCTCCTGTGCATGTTTTTCTTTGGTCTCAAAGAAATAAACAGAAAGGTAGAATAGATGCTTTCTTAGAAGAATAAGAAATTGGAAACTTCATAAGAAGGTTGTCATATGTGTGTGTGTGTTTTAATGCTGTAAATCATATGTGTGAACATTAAGAGTTTTTTTTTTAAAAAATGAACACAGCTAGACAGTGTGCTTTGCAGGAAACCAGTAAATAAATATTTGTAACCCCGAGTTTCATTAATATAGGCTAGAATAGGTGAATTGGCATGCCTTGTCTTAGAAGACAGTATAGATATAATGGATGTAACCAAAACCTGATGGATTTGAGAAAATCAATTGGCAACTGGTTACAAACTCTGTAGAGAAGATGGCAAAGGCATGGGGCAGGGTATTAAAAAAATAGGTGGATAAAGGTAAGTCAATAAATATAATCTGATTTTTTTTTAAAGCCTATGATAAAATCCCTCATCAAAGACTTTTCAGTAAACTTAACAGCCATGGAATAAAAGAGCAGATCCTCTCGTGGCTAAGCAATTGGCTGAACAGAAAACAAAGAATAGGTGTACAGGTAGTCGACCTACAACCACAATTGTGCCCCAAAATTTTTGTTGCTAAGGGAGACAGTTGTTGAGTTTTGCCCCATTTTATGATCTTTTTTTGCCACAATTGTTAAGGGAATCACTGCAATTTTAAGTTAGTAGCACGGTTGTTGAGTGGATCTGGCTTCCCCATGGACTTTGTTTTTCAGAAGGTCACAAAAGATGATCACATGACCCAGGACATTGCAACTGCCACAAAAGACATGCCAATGGCCAAGTGTCTGAATTTTGAACATGTGACCACGGGGATGCTGCAATGGTCGTAAGTGTGAAAAATGGCCATAAGTCTCTTCTTTCAGTGCCGTTGTAACTTCGAACGGTCACAAAACAAATGGTTTTAAATTGAGGACTACCTGTAGATGGACATCTCTCACAATGGAGGGATCTAACTAGCAGGAGGTTCTGTCACAGGACAGGCGCTTTTTAACATATTGATAAATGATCTGGAATTGGAGATGACTAGTAGAATAACCAAGCTTACTGATGACATTAAATTGTTCAAAATGGGACTGAGAAGAGCTTCAGAGAGAGCTCTTCACATTACGGGAGCAAGGGTCAAAATGGCAGAAGTTGTTCACTGTGGGCAAATGCAAAGTGATGCACATAGATCCCAAAAATCCTAACTACTCATATAAATTAATGGGGTCAGAGCAAGTAGCGAGAAATGAGGAAAGAGATGTTGGTAAACAGTTCAATAAAGGTGTCGATAAAATGTGTGCAATCCACTGTAAAAAAAGGCCAATAGTATGTTAGGCATAATAAGAAATTGTACTGGAAATAGAGACACCATTATTGTAATGCCCTTGTATAAATCAGTTATGTGACCACATCTGGAATATTGTGTGCTACTCTGATCAACGCAGCTCAAAAAAGATATAATGGAGCTGGACAAGGTTCAGAGGAGGACAAAGAGGATCATGGGGTTATGGCAGCTTCCCATGAGGAATGCTACTGATTATTGGGGTGTTTTAGTCTAGAAAGAAAGAGAAAGAGAGGAGATAGGATTCAGGGGTACAAAATTGGGCATATTGTGGATAAAATGAACAAAGAGAAGCTATTTCTCCTTTTTCCAAAATACTAGAACCAAAGGCCAAGCCATTTTTTTTTAGACAATTTATAATTTAGGTTTGGAATTTACTAGCAGTAGATGACTAACTCAAAAAGCTTTTGTCTAGCTTCAAAAACGGGTTTGACCAATTCATGGAACTCATAGGAATTAATGGCTATTAGCCATAATGGGAATGTGATTGCTTCTGAGACCATCTGCTGGAATACTCGGGGTCTTTCTTGTGCACTTGATGAGTCAGGTCCAATCCTGCAGGGCACTGTGTACATTGTTGTGTTCTTACCCAGTGCATAGAATTATATCAGTATTAATAATTGGACAGATACAGATTGAACTTTTGAAATGTTGCCAAAGAATCCATTAAATTGAGAGCTTTTGATCTTCTGATGAGTAAGGTGATTTGTATATATAATTTGCGATAGCTTTTTCTTTTATGCTTTTAAAAATAGCTAGACTTTCTCCACGCCTGCTTTTTTTATTATTTGTATCATTTACCCTGTGTACCATGTTCCAAAGTTGATTTAGAAAAGCTCCTATTGGATCTCATCGGTGCAAATTATTGGATCTCTTATTTGTTTCCATGATTAACTTTGGAGGCATTTCATTTTCCAAATCGTTAGTAGAGCACCATAGTATTTCTGATTTATTTGGTCAGTAGAGGTTGATATAGGTATGTAAAGAAATGTAGAGATGATCTTGATAAATGAATGGATGAGCGATTAAGGGCTGAGAAATGGTAATTTAGTCTTAGGAAAGTGGAGAGCAGGGGAAAGAAACTCAAAATACCGCTTTGATTCTGATTGATATAAGATCAGGCAGAGAAAAACTTTGCTAGGCTTTCCAAATGGATGTTACCCTGTTGAGGTAGACAAGGTCAGGAAATGTGCACTGCAAGGATTCCAGGAATCAGCTGCTACATTATTGCTGTAGGTTATAATAACAAGAATCTTGAAAGCTTGTCAAGAGTTTCTAGGTGCCCCCATTTATATCAAGCAGAATCAAGGCAGGCTTATACATTCCTTCACCAAGGTTATCTCTACATTCCTTTCCAGGATAAGACTGGGCAGGCTGTCTGATGGAGCTACACTCCTGTCAGCCAAAGCAAAATTAACAGTGCCAAGGAATGATAAGGCTTCTAACTGAGAATATTTGAAGGACATCCCTAGATTAAGGAATAAAATGCTATCCTATTTATACACTGCATAACATTTTGTTTTTTGATCTTTACAACCGTCAGATCAGCTTCCTATTTTGCAAGTAGGTCAGCTGATAATTGAAAAATAAGAACTATAATAGTGATCTTACATATATCCAGCTTTTATGATGAATAGTTTAAGACTCTAGAAGATAGACTCAAGTTCTTGACAACCTGTGCCACAATATTACTATATGGAGGTTCTTCGTTTGTTCCACTTTGAGAATCCTCACCTGATAATTTTGTGTTGAGGCAGACATGGTTGAATCCTGTCTGCTTGCTTGCTTCTTTCCAGTTCTGCTAATTTTTCTGTGCTACTTCTCTGAAATTAGCTTATGGTTGTTAGTAGGAGGCATTGTGACATCAACAAGAAAGCTGCCAATCAGTGAGATGCTCCCTCCTCTAGTTTCATTAGATTTCAGTTCTGATGATTTATTGGTTGAAATGCTTCTGTAATTATTTGGGTGTTGTTCTTAAGATGATATTTTTGGAAAATCTAGTTTCAGCTCTGCCCCCCCCCCTCATATAATACAGGAGATACCAAAAGAATTAAGCATTTTTTAAATATGCAAGCATTCAGTGAACAAAAATAATTGTGTATAAAATGTAATATGAATTACTGAATAATTTGATTCCCATAAAATAAGAATTATTTCTATTCTACAGAAATAATTGAAATTCGAGGAGCATGATTGCCTCTCTTTGTGGTGGGGCCTGCCCTCTGGAAGGATCTCCCCCCCCATCCATGCATGGGCCCAAATCTGTTGGCATTACTAAAAAAATTAATGAGTTGGGGGCTTCCTTGGGTCCCAGGGCTGAGCTGTCTTGTCCAGAGGAGGCTTAACACTTGCAAGTTCCTGCTTGCCAATTAAAGATGTTTTTGTTTAAATGGCAGTGTTTGCTTTTAGTTATTTTGGATATTGTAAGCCACCCAGAGTCAGTATGTTTATATTGGATGTACATATAAATAAATAATTAGCCTCTGAGACTAATTCTGCAGTCTTTTAATCAGGATTTGAATTTAATCACAGTTGAGTCTGTAGAAGAGGCTCTTTGTCTTCTGTGCAGGATTCTATGTAGGATTTTAATTAAGTGAAAGTCCTGCATAGCTGATTATGAAAGCCATTTATGTGTTTAAATGGGATTAACTGCACACAGTAGCAAATACAGCATCGTTTTTACAGTTTTTCAGCCTTGATGTCAGTATGAATGAGCTCTGAAAGTGAGAAGAAATAATTTTTGAACCAGAATTCAGATTTCAGCCAAGCAGTTTCACGATCACAAAAAACTTTAAAAACATAATTTCTTAAAAATAGTTTACATTACTCACATGAAATTATTCCTGCAGCAGGCAAGCCTCAGTTTCATCCCAGGATTATTCTGTGGAAAAAAGAAATCAGAGCAGGTCCTTTTTCCTAATTGTTCCACAGTTGTCTGCCACAAATATTTTATCACCTGCTTCCAGATTTATGATATACAAATATATCACATTCATTCTACTGAGCATAGGCAGTTAATTTGCTCTTCATTCATACATTTTTCACTTTCTGTATGAATTATTTTGGTCTGAAACAGCTCATTAGAATAAGTGCACAATCAACAATCTGTGAATTGAGGGCATTATTACATAAAATATATTGTATATGGGTAGAATATACCAAAGATGGATAAATATATAATTTCACATATGCTTTTGGAAATTGTGACAAAATGGCTCCTGTTGCCTCCACTATTCTGAGAGACAGGTCTGTGACAGGCTTCTGAAAGAAAAATAGGTTAAATTGGTATTTAGCAGACATTTTCAAGTAATAATTGCAGTTACTTGTTTAGTTAAATCTCTTGGAATAGTTTCTCTGACCATTGAAGGTACTTTACATAGAGCAGGAAATAATGATAATTCAGATTTGCAAGACTCATTTGTAGCTTCTGATTTCTAAAATTTTCTTCAGGTGTAGCTCTACTACAGTGGTTCTCAACCTTTTTAATGGCGTGACCCCCAACCAGTCGTAAGTCGAGGACTACTCAACCGGTCGTAAGTCGAGGACTACTCAACTGGTGCAGCACCGTTTGCAGAATGGGACTTTTGGCGGGCTCAGCAGGGCAGAGACAGCCTGGACAATTCCTATTGGCTTTTGAAAGCCAATAGAATTAGACTCTATTCAAGAGAGTCTATTCTATTGGCTTTCAAAAGCCAATAGAATAAAAGGGAGTAGCACAGCTAAGGAAAAGGGGGGGAAAAAATGGCAGACTGCGTTGTTTGGCGACCCCCGTGAAATGGTCGTTCGACCCCAAATGGGGTCCCGACCCACAGGTTGAGAACCACTGCTCTACTAGGGCTGCTAATCTGTTATGAACTAATAAGGGGTTTAGGTGATTTCTGATATTGGCTTTAGTTCTTTATGTAAGGCCCTGAGTGCTAGTTGTGGAATTTAAAAAAATAGCAATTCCCTCAAGTTCTTGGAGGAATGCTCAGCTGCTATCCTATAAAACTTCTTGAACGTGATGTAGGAATATTTGTTCTTTGTGGTCTACTGGGCAGAAATTAATTTTGTGTGCCTTGAAGTATGTGTGTATGTGTGTTAAAAATTTTCAGGGACACCTTTATGGTACCATTGCATCACTTAGTTGTGTTAGAGCTGTCATTCACGTTAATTCTCAGTGAATTCTTTCAATTTTTGTTGGCGGCACCTTGTGGTTGTTAATAATTGGTACTCCGCTAGATGGCAGCATCTAACTGGCTTTGAACTTGAATGGCAAACCACTTCTCTGTTGCTGCCAAGAAAGGGACAAATTTTGTTTGAGGGAGACTTTAATATAATTCCTATGAAACAGTGCAAAGATGGATGCTGTGCATCGTTCATATAGAAGGACATACATAACATGGAGTTGGTCTGCTCTGTGATGCACATAATTTAGTGAGGGGTCCTTGGTGTTCTCTGAGCTTGGTTGTTTTCTTGCAGACATTTCATTATCCTAATTAGGTAACATCATAAGTGCCAGTTAGTGGCACCTACTTAAGTTATTTGTGTTGGCTGCTGGTTGCATTTGGACATTTGCTTAGTAGGGAGAATTTGCATATTTATAAAATGGCTTTAAAGGGGAAGTGTAACAGTTATAAAGAACTGGTGTACAAATCTCTTCTCTATTTATTGCAGTCTTTTTCTAGTATATTTTCTTATAGTTCTGCTTAACTTCTATATAATTGGGCATACCGCAAAGCAAAACATCATTATTATTTTCTAAGGATGTTTATGAAATCAAAATAAAGGTGATTGAAAATTGGACTCTTTTTTTTCTTTGCATTAAATGTTTTTTTTTAAAAAAAAACTAAGGGTTTTTTAATGTAAAATGCAAGAAAAGTTAGATATGGTGCACAAAGCAAAATAATAGTCTCCAGTGATGTTGATGATTTATGACATACACTCAAAAGTCCAAAAAGTGTGTATCGTTTCAAAATTCTAAATGTACTTTTCCTTAATTAATAGGGACCAGTGATTTATTTATATAGCTTAATTTTTAAAGATATTCTTTTAACCTTAATCAACTTCCATTTTCATAATGAATAGTAGTTAAAGTGCCCCAAAACATTTCTTTAAGGTTGGAAAGCTGAAGGGTATTTAGTAATTTAATCTTTAATATTGAAGGTTTATATACAAGAGATGTCCAATAATTTATTACTGATTCAGTAGTTTATGCATCAGTAATGTTGGTTCCAGTTTTCAGATTGGTAGATTATTTAAAGCATCTCAGTTCTAAATCAATTCTGCAAAGACAAACAAGAAGCAAGAGCTTGCAGGAATTTCTGTTTTAAAAGTCATTTGACATTTGTGCTGAGCTACGAAGTCTCTTCTATTACTCTATCAAATATGAAATTACGCAACATGTATGTGAGATATTTTAATTGTTGTTATTTGCCTATAGCTGATGAATTTTGTTCTTATATTTGCCACAGTGATCACATGGAAAACATTTCTGGCTATTTAATGAAATATACAAATCTTGTAACAGGCTGGCAGTACCGGTAAGTCTGATTTTCCAAAACGTCACTATTTCAGATGGAATAGCTTTATGCATCAGGCAAAAATTGTTGGAAATATTCTGATCGTTTTAGAAAATAATATGTGAATGAAGACTTGCTTTAGCAATAATCTTTTGTTTTAGTGCATGTATTTGATTTCCTGACCTGTAAATTTTTCATTGAACAAGAGGGCTTTGTGTATTTTACCCTTCCAGAGATAACGCAAAGAAAAATACAGTTATGAAATATATCCGAACATGGAGGTTATAGCATAGTTGCTATTATAAGCAACTGAAAGATGATTCTGGATGCAGTAATTGACTTTTAATTAGTCATAATGTTTACAAGATTTTAAAAGTTGGAGCTCATATTTTGAGATTTCTGAAAATAAGATTACAGTAAAATCCTACCTGCTGCCATGTCTATTCAGAAACAAGATCCATCGTTTTGTTCTGTAGTTTATTTCCTGGTAATATATAGGGACTGTACGGTAGGAATTTGCATTCTTGGTGTGACACAGTTACAACTATCTTTTTCTAGTGAATATTTGTGTGAATTTGAAAGCAAGATCTGAACTCTTGAGTTTTTTCAAGTTTGCAAAGGCTCTGGGGAAGCTAAGTTTTTGCTCTTGCTTACCATTCTCCTGCCTTTCCTTCTGGAATAAAAATTGTTAATGATATAACAGCATCCTGGGAATGTTTATACTCTTTGAAATAGTCTCTGAAGCCTGGTCTTAAACAGGAAAAAGAAAACATCCATTTTTTGCCTTCAGCCTATTTTTCCCCTCATGCTTTGAGTTCTGTTTGTTGAACATTAGGGGTCCATATTTCACTTGTTCCTGAGATTGGCAATGTAAATTGATTTTTCAATTTGTGAGCTACACTTCGAAATCTCAGAACATGCATAGTCTTGTTGAAATAAGAAGGCTCATTTACAACTGGTTCTGCAGTGATTAAACCATGCCCATATAAAATCATTGCATTTTTAATGTCTAAGAGGTTTTCTAAATGGAGTGGTAACTATCTTGATTTTAGTGGCACTACCAATGTAATAAAATGGAATCTTCTTAAGTAACGGAAACATGTTTCCTTAAAATAGGTTTTGTGTGGAGTAGTGTGCGGCATTGTCAGTCCTCTCATTTGTCCACTGAAGCTAAAAAATATTGTTCCATTTTTATAACAATAACAATCACAGCAACATTTGCCTAGTATACATTGCCCAATAGATCTGCCATGTCGTATGACTCGCTATTACTAAAATAGGGATTTTTTTCGATCAGCAATTGCAAGTTAGCTCAAATTAGGGAAACGTTTGGAATGTTATTTCTGCTTATTGTTGTCTTCACTGCTTCTTAGTTATATAAAAACCTCAGCTAAGAAATAGGGATATATTGGTAGCCATGGATCCTGATTCCTTATGATGTCTGCAGTTCCAGCTTCTTCTGTTTATATCAACAGTTTTTCAATCTAAGGATAAAAATCTCTGAGAATGTGCAAAATCCCACTTAAATGCCAGGAACATTGCTTTGGACTGGCTGATCGATCTGAATAGCACACCATGCCACACATTTCAGCTTCATGGAATTTTGAAGTCTTTTAGCAGAAGCCTCAGCGATAATATAAACGCTTCAAAACTGAATCCAGGCCTCTTTTTCCTTACAGACCTTTTTTTTTTTTGATATCCCAAGTATTTTCATCCTTGTGTTCATTTTTGAGAGTTGTCTTACAATGTGGTTGGTTAGTTTTGATGTATTGCCTTATCATTTGCTTCCCCGTTGTTCCAGGGGCTTTATGCAAACATGGCAGAAAACAGAAAACTCACCGGCTCAACCCCAAAGGCTGAGTCCACATTTTTCCATTCTCCAGTGGAAGATGAAGAACGGCAGAAGGCAGCCTTTTCTTATTTGGTCCCTTCCCCTGTACAGTTTCCAATGCCACGTTTCCCCCTATTCTGGCAAAAATATCATTGGGCACAAATGGCTGAGAGGCAGAAATGGTTAACAAGTAATGACCTTTGACTATAAAATATATTCCATACTTCCACTCTCTCTCTTAAAAAAAAAAATTGAGAGCGAGTTAGGTTCCTCCAGGAAGGAATTAAGTCAGGCTGCATATGATTTTGTTTAGATCAGGTTTTTTTTTGAATTTGCCAACTTTAAGATATGTGGATTTCAACTCCCAGAATTCCCCATTTCTCATGCTGTCTGGGAAATTCTGGGAGTTAAAGTTCACCCATCTTAAAATTGACGTTAAAAAACAACAACACTGGTTTAGATTATAATTTTTGTAATGGGCAAACAGCAAGCAGCCTTCCTCTCTCTGAATTGTGCTGTAATGTCACTGAACAGCTGGACAACATGGGTACAGCACACTCCCTTCAGCTCAAAGTCTTCCAAAAGAACTGCACCTTTTCCCTATTCAGCTTCCAGCTCACATCAAAGTGTTCGGGATTTTTCAAAGACTCTCTGTGCAGATAGTCACTAGTAGGAGAGGACTGCAGCCTCCTGGATTGAGATCTATACGTGGACGTATTACCTGAAAAGGGCTCAAATTTGGAAGTTAGCTGCATGTTTGAAAAAGTGGGGAGATTTTTGAATTTGCTTTTCCCTCACCATTACAGGTATTTTGTCTTAAACAATGAAGCTGGTCTCCTAGAGTATTTTGTGAATGAACAGTCCAGAAACCAGAAACCTAGAGGTACCTTGCAGCTGGCTGGAGCTGTGATATCCCCTAGTGATGAAGATTCTCATACCTTTACAGTGAATGCTGCAAGCGGAGAACAGTATAAACTGAGAGGTACAGGGTTGTTGTTTTTTTAATAGTTCCATTGTTGTTTGTTCACTAGGATGCAATCCTGTTTCTTTGTTTTGTGGTCTGTATTGGCCTTTGCCTTCATTCTGTCTGAATTCAGGCAGGGTATTTGTTGGTATAAAGAAAGAGAGAGAAGCAGTCACGTTATAGAAAATAAAATAATAAAAGGTATTTTTCTCCAGCAGGATGGCTGTAGAGTCCAATGGATGGGTTCTATGACGGCCTTCCTGCCTGGCAGACTGGGTAAAAACTTCGGCCACACCCCTTCCTTTGGGCGTGACCCCAGTTTTGACTCAGTCTCGAAGCCTGGTAGAAGTGCGAGAAGCAGCTCTCAGAACACAAAAAGGAATTTACTCCAAAAAAAGCGAAAGGAATCCCTTCCTCCTTCCAATTTGAAAGAAAGGTTGTCTAGCAACAGATAGGAGTTTGAAGAGTGCAGCCAGGATCGCCGGAGTGGTGAGAGGGGCGTCAGGGCGGCTAGCCGGGGAGGCTTGGAACGGGGCCGGATCGCTCGTCGATACCCGGCCCGCTGAGCAGCTGTTTGGCGCGGGGACCGCGTAGCGTCGGAAGAGCTCAGCCGGGTTGCTCGCCGCCCTCCGGCCCGACAAACAGCTCAGGGGCCGATTCAGCTCGGCCGAAGGGACGAGGCGCCGCTCAGCGCGAAACAGCTGAGCTGCGCGGGAAGCGGCAAACCGCGGCGCCGCTCGGCACCGATCAGCTGAGCGGCGCGAGAAGAGCCCAGCGCCGTTTCTTTCTCCTCAGAGGAAAGGCGCAGCCCCCTTAAGACCAAAAGAGTTACCTTATTGTTGATTTGAAAATTCCGCCATTGCTGAACCTCGTGGCTCCCCGGGTTGCTACTGGGAGGCGTGGCTTCCTCCCATTCGCCATTTTGAACGAGCGGATCAACCCGCCGTTTCTCCCCTGGTGGACGGGGCTACCACCCGGACTCCATTTCCTGGCAGACAAAGAAGGGATTCTTATGTAATGGTCTGAGGTTCCATCAAATGTTGAGACAAGAGGAAGGAGGAGGGAAACTGCCAACTGCTTGATCGTGGTCTGCTGCCACAGCCACGGACTGGGGGAGAGAGAGAGATTAAACTGCACCTTGACTAAACTAGGTGAGGAGGTGAGGAGGAATATTTTTTCTGACTGTTCCTATAGTGACCTTTAGTCACTGCCTTGCAGGATCTTCTGTCAAAAGAATCCTGTCTGTCCGGCCATTGTTTGTATAGGCAGAAGAGGGCAACAGCTCCAAGCATCTGCATCGGATCTGCGTATCGTATTCCCCCACTCCAGGCATTGCCTACTCGGGGTGTCTGGCACAATGGCAGACAATGTCTCGTATTCAGTCACACAGGTCCCTCAATTGTCCCCCCCACAGCAACAACAAAAACGCAGATCCTCTGAATCAGAGGTGGGGGGGAAGAAGAAGGCTAAAACAAAGCACCTTACTCAGAAGGGACAGTCCAAAACGGCTGAGCGAGAGGCTTTGAGGAGACATTTGGCTTTAGAAAGACAAATTAGCAGGGCACAGAGAACCAACCCCAACGGGACAAATATGGTTTCCCCTGTCCCTGGGGTGGCACCCAGTTCAGAACCTACTGCCGAGGAAGTGCTCAAGACTTGGTCTCCTCCTGGGGAAACTGAACAGTTAGATTCCTCCACTCACTCCTCACCAGCTTCTTCACCCGACCACACTCCAGCGTGTCACCCCAGCGACAAAGCGCAGGAGAACATGTGGTCAGCACAATTCCAGGCATTCATGCAGGATGCCTTGTCCCAGTTCATGGCTTCTAAGGGACAAGTGGCCTTTCACACACCCCATAAGGGACGAGCTAGGCCGCCCCCTACCAGCATTTCTGAGACTTCCTCTCAAATAGGAGAGGGTGACTCATTAGACCTTGACATGTCAGACATGCCCCTCTCGGAGGATGAGGAGACCGCACCTGAGCAGGCGACGAGCTCTGGCCTCTTTAACCCAGCGCTCCTTAAATCACTCCTGATTAAGGCAGTCTCTACGGTCAGCCTAACATCAGTACAGGAAGAGAAGCCCTCTACAAGCAAGGAGGCCAATCCTCTATTTGCCAAAAAGGTTCCACAGGATAAGTACATTCCATGTCCGGAGGTCTTCATGACCACGGTGGAGGAACAATGGTCCTCACTTGCAAGCCCACCGGCACCTAACAGCACGGAAAGAAAGCTTTTCAACCTATCTCCCTCCTTCTCGAACATGTTAGAGGTTCCCACTGTAGATAACCCATTGATCTCATTATTTTCTACCTCCGCGATTCCAGGAGACATGGCGGAGGTCTTGAAACCCGAGGAGAAGAAATTTGAACACTCCCTCCGTCGTTCCCACACGGCTGCAGCCTGGGCGGCCAGAGCAGCCACTTCATCATCATTCTTCGCGAGGGCCTGTATCATGTGGCTGAGGGAACTGCAAGGCACGGTGCCTCCAGACCAGGTCAGAGTACACCAAACATTGGCCAAGCTCCTCGCGGCTTCCCAATTCGTGTCTGACGCTTCGCTGTACGCAACAAAGTATGCGGCAAGATCCATTGCGGCCACAGTGGCCTCGCGTAGGCTACTGTGGCTCAAAAATTGGAAGACAGACCTGAGGTCCAAATGGCGTCTCTCGACATCCAAATACAGCGGAGAAACCTTATTTGGTTCCATACTGGACCCACATATCAGCGAAGGCAGAGACAAGAAGAAAATTCTAGTACATCCATCAAAGAAGTTAGACAGGAGAGGCAGTCTAGATTTCCGGAGACAGGGCTCCCGTTCAGGAAGCCCCTGGGAATGGAGACAGCCCTTTCGATCAGGGCAATCCTGGGACTGGTCCAGAGGCTCACGATCCTTCTACCCGAGACAGGATCGACACCAGGATCGCCAAAGCCCGGGAGCCAGAGGCCAGTTCCAGTCCAGACGTCCATATAGGGGAGCGGGGAGCAGATCCTTTAAGCGTACCAAGTGACGCCAAACAGGACACTCCCATCGGGGGTCGGTTAGGAAATTTCATCGAGGTCTGGGAGCAGACCACTACCGACGCCTGGGTCCTGGAAACGATCAGGCATGGCCTGACCTTAGACTTTTGCTCTCCCCCACCAAACCGGTTCATCAGATGCCCCATCTCCAGAAAGGTACACAAGACAAGGCTGATAACTTCGGCCATAGCCCACCTCCTGTCAATTCGGGCCATAGAGAGGGTACCAATGGAAGAGGAAGGAAGAGGATTTTATTCCATCCTCTTCGTTATCCCGAAAACATCAGGAGGGTGGAGAGCAATATTGGACCTAAAGGGCCTGAATTATTACATAAAGTACAGAAGGTTCAAGATGCACTCCTTGAAATCCATCCTAGCCAGCATCAGGGAAGACAATCTACTATCCTCAATAGACCTCACAGAGGCGTACCTACACATTCCCATCCATCCCAGCTACCGGAAATTCCTCAGATTTACCTACGCGGGCCGGCATTACCAATACAGGGCCCTACCCTTCGGGCTATCCTCAGCACCAAGGGTGTTTACCAAAATCCTAGTGGTAATAGCGGCCCATCTCAGGCTGATGCCGGTTCGCGTACAGTTCTATCTGGACGACATCTTGATTCAGTCCAGATCTCAGGAACAAGCAAGGGCAGATCTCAAGACCACAATCCAAACCCTACAGGGGCATGGGTTCTCGGTCAATTTAAACAAGAGCCACCTCACCCCCTCGAGACTGCAACACCTAGGCGCAGTGATAGACACGTCACAGTGCAGGGTATACCTTTCCCAGGAGCGACTGATCAGCATATCCAAGCTAATTCACCAAATTCAAAAGATCAGGAGAGTGCCCTTGATACAGCTCTCGAAACTCCTGGGAAAGATGATATCTTGCATGGGCATCATCCCATGGGCAAGGCTCCACTCGAGGGAGTTACAGTGGTTCCTTCTACCCTACCAGAGGAGGAACCTCAGCACCTCCAACAGGAGAGTGCGGTACCAGTACAGGTGAGGAGATCACTAAAATGGTGGCTATCCCCCACGACACTCAAGGGGAGCATATTCAGGGAACCGAACAGGGTCACACTCACGACAGACGCGAGCTTGTTCGGATGGGGAGCCCACCTGGGAACCCAGATAGCACAGGGCCAGTGGGGACAGGAGGACCTGTCACACAGCATCAACTGGTTAGAACTCCGGGCCATCCACCTGGCTCTTCGTCATTTCTCACACCTAGTAACGAGGAGGCACGTCCTCGTACTAACAGACAATGTAGCAGCCAAGGCACATGTAAACAAGGAGGGAGGACCGCGATCAGTGGAACTGATGAAGGAGGCATTGGTTCTGGCTCGCTGGGCAGAAACCAATGTGAGTTCCATCAGAGCGGAACACATCTCAGGGGAGACAAACACCCAGGCAGATTCCCTGAGCAGAGCCAAGGTGGACCAGTCGGAATGGCGTCTGGATCCAGCTCTGTTCGAGGAGATCTCCCGGAGATTCGGACAACCGCATCTAGATCTATTTGCCAACCACATGAACACACAGCTTCCCAGGTTCTTCTCCAGATTCCCGTCTCCGGGATCGGAGGGAACGGATGCTCTCAGGCGTCGGTGGCCGGAGCAACTGCTGTACGCCTTCCCACCGCTGCCTTTAATACCGGCGACCATACGCAAGTTGATCCTGGAAGGCGCAGAGATAGTCTGCATTGCCCCTCATTGGCCACGGCGCCCGTGGTTTGCCGACCTCGTGGACCTTTCGATATCACCCCCGTGGAGGATTCCCCGGGACAGGGTAAGGCTCAGCCAGGGCAAGCTGGCACACCCAGACCCCCAGTGGCTACAACTAGCCGCCTGGCATTTGAGCGGCAAAGCTTAGCCAAACAATCTTATTCGGCAGGGGTGATATCGATCATACAGGCATCACGAAGAGCGTCCACTAACAGGATTTACGACGCTAAATGGAAGGGGTTTTGTAGGTGGTGCGTCCCTCTTCGCCTAGATCCGACCGCAGTATCCATCCCTAATATCCTAGATTACCTCTTGGAGGGTCTTAATAAGGGCCTATCAGTCAACACTATCCGCAGACAGATATCGGCTCTTTCAACTGTACTCTCCTGCGACAACTTAACCTCCCTAGCGCAACATCCAGCGATTAATGCATTTTTAAAAGGGGCAACTAACACAAAACCCCCCGTCATACACAGGTACCCGTCTTGGAACCTGCCTAAGGTCCTTCTAGCCTTGACATCAGCACCCTTCGAGCCCCTCGAATCTTGTTCCCTCCATCACCTATCACTGAAGGTAGCTTTCCTTGTGGCAATTACTTCAGCAAGGAGAATTTCAGAACTAGCAGCACTGTCAGTAAGGAAGGATCTATGTACCTTCTTCAAGGACAAGGTCGTTCTTAGACCAGATCCGGCCTTCATTCCGAAGGTAAATAGCATCTTTCACAGATCTCAGGAACTGACTCTTCCTGATTTCTGTCCAAAACCCAAACATAGGCTAGAACATAGATGGCACAAACTGGACGTGTGGAGAGCGCTGTGTTTCTACGTGAAACGCACTTCGGCCTTCCGAAAGACCGAAGCATTATTTGTGTCTTTTCAACCATCATCTATGGGAAAGAAGGTCTCTTCTTCTACCATAGGCAGGTGGATCAGAGCCTGCATAGCACAAGCCTACACCTCGCAGGATCTGCCAGCACCCACTCATGTGACTGCCCACTCAACTCGGAGCGCAGCCACATCTGCGGCGTGGCTAACGCAAGCACCGGTAGAAGAAATTTGCAAGGCCGCAACCTGGTCTTCACCTTCGGTTTTCATCCGGCATTACCATTTAGATTCCCTTGCAGCAGCAGACGCGGCCTTTGGCAGAAGAGTCCTTCAGCAAGTCGTATCTGCTCAGAGTTCGGTAGCCTAGACATTCCCTCCCAGGGGGACATGAGGGCTTTGGTATGTCCCATCCATTGGACTCTACAGCCATCCTGCTGGAGAAGGGGCGTTGTCTTACCTGAACGCCTTTTCTCAGCAGGATGATGTAGAGTCCAAGCCCACCCAAAGGTTAGGTCTAGGCAGGGAAATAATAAAGACAGGGAAATAATAAAGAGCTGCAATGCTAATTCCAACGAAGTTTCTCGCCTAAGTCAAAACTGGGGTCACGCCCAAAGGAAGGGGTGTGGCCGAAGTTTTTACCCAGTCTGCCAGGCAGGAAGGCCGTCATAGAACCCATCCATTGGACTCTACATCATCCTGCTGAGAAAAGGCGTTCAGGTAAGACAACGCCCCATTTCATTGAGCTAATTCATAATAGAGTAAGAAAGATTTCTGAGAAACTCAAGACTGCAGGACTTTATAGGTTTTATTTTCAAAACAACACAGTGGTTGCTTCGAAGTAATTTGAAGATATCTGCACTCAGACCAGCTTGCACAAAATTAGTATAAAGTTTAGTATTCAAATTGTTTTTGTTAGGTGCATTACTTTCTTTTTTTTTTAAATATATTTTATTGTTTTTTTAATTTTAACAAAGAGTACTTTAGACACACCGTGGTATTTGGGTAAACAAACAATTCAAGATAAAAAACATACATAAACAGCTCAACTTAGTACATTCACTATCATCTCTCTATTTCTCACAAATAACATAACAGATTTAATATATTCCATTTCTAGCTTAAATTTCTGTTACTACTCCACCTGTTTTAAAGCTTTATCAATTTAAAATTACCATAATCAAATATTGTTTTACATCAACAAATTATCACTTCAAGTATCTCTACAAAGTATATTGAAGTTTTTAATCTCTCTCAGCCCTCTTCTTATCATTTAGGTGCATTACTTTCTGTTCTGTCATGTAAAAATGAATGCAATGTAAAAGACAGTATGCTTTTTTGTTACTAGCTCTCATAGATGTTAGTTTACGTGTTTTGGCAAATACCTTGTTGTATCTTCTGTTGTAGCATTGAAGTTGAGTCTGTCATTAAATATTTCCAGTTTAGTATGCCTTGAGCAGAATTTCACTTTTAAATGTTGCTGCTAGCAAAAAGTAGATTTATTCAGTGAATTTCATCACCCCCCCCCCCCCGCAGTCTCGAGAATAATCTGTTTGCTGTTTAGGAGTTTTCACATTCTTTTGGAAAAAGATTTTTAGGAGAGGTGGAAATAGCCACTCATTCTGCTATGATGATGGTGGGGAACTTCATTTGTCCATTCACAGGAAGCTAGACTCTTTTAATATAACTGGAATTGAAACTGTATTGTGAAAATTCTACTCCTTTTGCTTTTTATTTAGCTACAGATGCAAAAGAAAGACAGCATTGGGTCAGCAGGCTTCAGATATGCACACAACACCACACTGAAGCAATTGGAAAGGTACTGTCTGTAACAAACACTGTAAGTCATGCAGCAATAAGAGTGTATAATGTCTACAAATCATGTGGATCAATAGACCAAATAGGTCCTACTTATGTTTACCAAAGGGAAAAAAAGCCCGATAGAGAACAACAACAAAGTCAAGATTAATTGGATTTAATTTAATTTGAAAAACAGTTCTACAGATTAAGGGTCAAACTTCCTGTAGCTGATTTATAGGTTCTTTTTCCTTTAATGTGCAGCTAAAGTTTTATCCAAAAAAAAAGGATACGATTTAACAAAACCATTCAAAGCAGAAGACTCCTGTTATTTTTGACGAACAGAATCTCATTTAAAAAAATCCTAGCTGTGCACATAGTTACTTTTATCTTTATAGGACTGAAAAGAATCCAAGAAGTCTCAGGAAACCATAGCCCTCAGATTAAAACAAGCAATAAATTTTGAAGTTTAGATGAAACATTGATGAAAGTCATGTTTTGAAAGATGTTCTATGTTGTTTACAGCTTGTCCAAAGAGAGGAACAAAGCAGCTATATACACCCTTAGAAGATCTTTTTATAAATTGGGTTATTATTGTGATCAATTTATATGAGCCTCTGTAATTTTCTAATTGTTTTAACTTATTTGATGTACAATGTCTCTTGAAGCAGTTGGGACGTCTTGGATCTGTTTTCACTTAGTAAAATTAAAATTACTTAGTAAAATTAAAAGCTGCAATTATCTGGGAGTAAAGCTTATTGAATGCAGTGTGACTTGTTTCAGAATGAACATGGGTGAAAATGGGTTGTGAATGTGTTTGCTCTTGCAGAAATGAAAAGGTGGATAATATTTATCTGACTATGATAGTATTGACTATCATGGTTAATGCTTAGTGTAATTGTTGTCAGTCAGCGGCTGGCATGCATGCAAGTGATTATGGCTGGTGAGGCCTAGTAAATCTCAAATGGAGTTTTGTAACATATTGAGGAAGTTCTGTTAAGTGATTCACCAAGTAAAATGAATTCACTGTATATTGCAGTTCCTAAATGTGTTGCTGCAGCATGACTGATAAACCAGTTTTCTAAGTTGCAAAATTAAGCTTATTATGTCCTCTTTCAGTTGCTCATAAAACAGTGGAATCTAGCTTTAAACTTTAAGCATTATCATTAGCCAGCCATCTGGAAAAGAATTCATAGTGTTATATTTTTGCTAAAATAAAATTAATAAGGCAGAGTCAGTCTATGGAAGCTTCACCCGTTCCACATGTTTGTTTTTATATTCATTTTTGTACTGCTATAATGTGAAAAAAAGACAAAATGCAAATTAAAAACAAAAGTATGAAAAAGAAACAGCAATACAAGAGCAATAACATAATAATATTTACTATTAATAAAAGCCAATCCATTTTAAGCAGATAATTAAATCTTGTTCATAGGATCATACTGATTGGTCTTTTTATTTTGTTAATTCAAAGCTGAGAGTAAATGTATTTCTTCAGTCCTATATTTAAAGTCTAGACTTCTTTGCAGTCATCCAAATTTCTCTTTTTAACTACACTGGTAAGCTTGATATGTCTCAAATTCTTCATAAATTTATAAATTCCATGTTTTGATATATAGTTCAACATTGCATTATAATTTTTAGACTTTACTTGTCTTCCCCAAATAATATTAACAATAATAAAACAGTGTATTAACTGTAGAGTTAATATGTATCCAATATCTTCAAATGTATTATTTTCAGGATAAAAAGATTTGCAGTTGTAATATATGCTGAGATGTTCATTAAACAAAAATATTTTGATGAATTAATCTAATCTTAACATACATTCATTTTACATTCTTTTAAACATTTAAAGTTTTAAAGTTTGTCTTAATATGATATTCTAATTCTGATTTCAAAATTCTTGCGAATTAACGATGAGTTTAAATTCATCTAAGATACTTTCCAACAACTAAGTAATCTGGGAATTTCAAAAATAGCTAAAACATCTGTTCCAAACAGAAATAAAAAAAAAAGCTTTAGCTCAATATATTTAGATCATCATGGATGTTTTTACATGGGATCAGGTTAAATACAATAATAATATGCTGCATCGAGGGTTAATAATTTTTTTGGGATGAGTATTAAAACAAAACAACATTCAGTTATCTCAGACTATCAGTTTTTCCACATAAAGAGGAATGGAACTTTTAACTTATGCTTAAGAATTTTCCAAGTATATCTGGCAACCTTTAGTGCTGAAAAACAATTGAATTTCTGCAAAAAGAACAGTGAAGCATCTCCTGCGCTCTGCTTCATTGTAGAGCTTTTCTAGGATTAATCAGATTTTACTATATGAAAAGTGGAACACAAACACTTAACGACCAAACTGTAATACTGTATATTGTCTTCCATGCAGTGCTGGGTCTGGGGCATAACTGTGATGGATGCCAGCCCTAGCCCCCAAAGAATATTTAATATATGTTCCTAGCCTGGTTGTATTAATAATTGTATTAGAATATATTATCAGTAATTTAGAAGCAGTCTAATAAGGGAATAGTTATGTACTTCTTAAAATGGGCAAGTTAGAAGGATGGACATTTAAACAATTAGTGTTCAAGGATTTCCTAATACATATTTTTGTTCACCAGAACAATCCTCCTCTGAAATCTCGCAGCTTCTCTCTGGCATCTCAAGGAAGTGGCTCTCCTGGTATGCAGAGAAGACCCAGCCAAAACGCAGCTTCCTTTTTCAGTGTTGGCCATCACAAGTTGTCAGCTGGGAAGAGAATTCCCATTCTGCAGCCAGATCACTTAATCGATGTACGAGAGGTTTGTATAGATCTTGGTTTTTTTTTCATTTCTCTGGAAGAATGGTTTGCCTTTAGAAGTTGAATAGCTCCCTGTGCCTTCTTAAAAACCACGATTATTTTTGTGGAAAAACACTGGGACCCTACCAGTTTTGAGAATGTATTGAGGCTTACACTTCTTTATATAAATGATATCTTAAGAAAAGATGCATTCTCATGTTTCTAATTCTCACTGGAATACCACAAGATGCACAGATACAACATATGTCCTCTTAAGTTGAATGTTTCTGTTTATATACGGTGGTTGCATGTTCAAAAAAGTACACATTTCCCTCAGCGACATTCCTTTGCTAGCACTATTAATAATAAATTAAATGTACATGCAGCTCAGCTTCCAGCAACTTGGTTGGTTGTTGAAATATATCAAGGAATATTTAATATTTTAAATATATCAAGGAATATTTTGCCTACTATTTGCTTAGGCTTATTTAGAAGCTACTTTCTTGCAATGTTTTTCTAAAACGATACTGTTGGTAAAACATCTGAATTAGTGACTTGGCAAAAATCCGTAGCACAGGCTTGAATGACCTAACTGTTTTGTGTATCTTGTACATCAGTTTACATTAGTTAGTCATTGCTTTACCTCATATCTTGAGTAACTACTGTAATTGACTAGAGCAGGGCTTTTCAACCAGTTTTTCAGTAGTACGAGTACCACCTGTGGTACATTGGCACCTGGCAGGTGGTACGCGACCATCCTAGAAAAGTGGTAGCGGGGGAGGGAAATGAACTGAACCAGTGGCAGCACCGCACAAGCCTGAGTGAGAGATGGCTGGAGCTGCAGGGCTGTCAGGACTCAGTGGAAGCTCCAGGATCAGTGCCAGGCTCCAGCTGGAGCTCAGCGCTGATCCTGGTGCTTCTGCTGAGCCCAGAAGACGCGCCGATCAGCTGGAATGTTGCAGCCTCTCCAGGGTCTTGTGATTTACATTCAGATGCTTGGCAAGTGATTCATATTTATGACAGTCACAGTGTCGCAGGGTGACCAAAACCTGCTGCAACCACTCAGCAGATGGGGAGAATAAAAACCAAACACCCCCCACCCCATCCCCGCTGCCAATCCTCAGCAAATGCTCACAACAATGAAAACCTTGGACAGGAGGAAGAGCGCCACTGGGTGGGCAGGCAAATGTCTTGCTCGGCTGTGGCTTGGGGGGCACTTTTTTCAGTGTCAGTGTAACTTCGAACAGTCACTAAGCGAACTGTTATAAGTTGAGGACTACCTGTACTTCATCAATTTTTTCCTTTCTTTTTTGGGTCATCAAGTTTTTGACACCTTGCTAGGCAACTGGTGGTACTCGGATGTTACCATATCCTAAAAATGGTACAATGGGTGAAAAGGTTGAAAAGCCCTGGACTAGAGCACTTTGTAAAAGAGTGTTTCTAATGTTTACTTGTTGCATTAAAACAAATCTTGATTTGTGAGAACAAAAGATTGCTGTATAAAACATGACATGCATTTAATTTTGAACAGTGCTATATGCAAACCAAAAAAGTTGTGAGAATTCTTCAACCCTGCATTCAGTTTTCCTTTTTCATTATAGATGTTAGTTAACAATGGGTGAAAGTCGGGTTCAGTGTAGTCATTATATTTCTTGATTTCTTAGGCATAGCTAGGAGTCAAAGAGTGCCCAGTTGACCTGATCTACTCTCTTTTCTTTTTCTCTTCTTTGGCCTACTGACTTTCCTCATTATCCTTCTATATATCTCATCCTCTAATCTCTTTCAGTCTGAACTGTGTAGGCCTTTACCTCTCTACATTGCTAAATGCTACCACTACTTAATGCACTAAAGTTTGGCAGTAGAATTAGAAGCAGAATCCAAATACTGATGGAAAGCTGACTGGGATTAATATATTTGATTCAGCATAGATGGAAAATGAACTCCTTTGGCATTGTAAAAGACTTTAAGTAGGGGAGAAAAAGAGCATATAAACTGGGTGTAAGAGAACACGAAATTTCTATTTGGACTTTTCTGCAATCAAATACTTTAAGATCTAGCGAAAATTAAAAGTCTAAATATTGGAGGTTTCCAAATGGAGAACATTATTCCTTTACCTTTTCTTAGAGCTCTGCAATGAAGACAAACTTTAAGAATCATGTTTAAGACCTCTCAGAAAGTTGAAGACAAACTAATGAGAATATGCATATATGGTGCCTGGATATAGTGGGAAAACAACAATCCTGAGTTCTGGAAAAATTGTTGGCATTAGCATTTCTAATCGATTGTGTTGGATTCCTGCTTCTTTTATTCCTTCGGAGTTGATTCCAACTCTTGCTTTCTCAGATGCAACAGATAATCTATTCATATATATATATATATAACATTGAAGTAATATGTAAAGTACTTGTGCTAGATTTTGACCATAAATCAAAATTCTAGATGCCTTCTTTAAATTATTATTTTTTCCACTTAGATGAATTTATCCCTTTTTCAGGGGGAAAAAACAAATCCCCTATCGCATTTTTATAAAATTCCTTCCTTTGAAATAGGGAGTAGATTTAAAAGCAGAATATAAGACAATTATAATTAATTTATATACAATATCCAGTATAAAATCTGAGAACTTGTTAGAACTTCGAAATCTTAGGTAAGAATCAAAGAGCAAGGAAATATATTATACTGAGAAGCAGCGGGTTTGGGTGGCTGATCATCAAGGAAATTAAATGGTTTTGGATTTAAAAAAATACTTAACTGATTCTTATCTTTACTACTATTTCTTATTCGTAAGTGTGAAGATTAGCAAATAAGTTGTCAATTACTGTAATGACAACTGTTTCTTCGCTGGAGAGTAAATTACAGATTTTTACAACCCTTGTAAGGAACAATTGCATTTGAGTAAACTACAAGGAATGCTATTTTACAAACTACCATTTTGACCAAGGAAACGTTTTAAGTTTTAAAAAAAAAAGTTTCCCCGAAGTTTCATGTTAACAACATTGTAAAATCTTTGTGCCTTGATTAACTGCAGAAGATGTCTCAAGCTGAAGGACAGCAGAGAGATTTGGTAAGAAGTATTGAATGCCTTCCTGCCTCCGGTCATCTTTCCTCCTTAGACCAAGACCTACTGATGCTCAAGGCAACCTCGATGGCAACAATGAATTGTTTAAATGATTGTTTTCACATTCTCCAGCTGCAGCATGCATCACAACAAAAGGGATCCTTATCTACTGGTGAGTTATTATCCTTGCTCTGTTTGAATAAAAAGATAAAAAATCAGAAGTTGTCCATTTTATTTTGTTTTTTCTGGGAACCTCTAAGGCCCAGGTGTCAAACCTGATTGCGTCACGTGATGTATCGCGAGGGTTTTGCCTTTGCGGTGAGCGGGCCTGCGCGTGACACATCCGACTCACGGGCCGCCAGTTCGACACCCCTGCACTAAGGAATCTCTGGTGTATTCCTCTTCAGAAAGTGGATTCTTTATGGGAATTTACTCTCAGTGTCATTTGGACTTGTATTTGGAGAGAAATTCAAATCCAAATCCTTATTGTACAACATGTGTACAATGAGATTGGCTGAACCTCCCTTCGTGCACCCCCCCCATCACAACTCACAGTGACAACAAACACACAATCTTATTGCACAACGCGCCGGCCCCACAAGCCTATCATACATTTTCCATTCAGGAGTCTTGACAGCCCATGGGTAGAAATTGTTTCAGATAGTATTTATAGAGAGCAGTACTACTACTACTAATAATAATAATAATAATAAAGTTGGAAGGGACCTTGGAGGTCATCTAGTCCAACCCCCTGCTCAAGCAGGAAACCCTATACCGTTTTGGACAAATGGCTGTCCAGTTTCTTCTTAAAAACTTCCAGTGTTGGCGCATTCACCGCTTCTGGAGGCAGGATGTTCCACTGGTTAATTGTTCTAACTGTCAGGAAGTTTCTCCTTAGTTCTAGGTTGCTTCTCTCTTTGGTTAGTTTCCACCCATTGCTTGTTGTCCTGCCTTCAGGCGCTTTGGAAAATAGCTTGACTCCCTCTTCTTTGTGGCAGCCCCTGAGATATTGGAACACTGCTATCATGTCCCTCCTCGTTCTTCTCTTTGTTAAACTAGACATACCCAATTCCAGCAATCATTCCTTATATGTTTATACTGATAATATAAAAAGTACATGCCTTAAATTAATTGTTTAAGCAGTCATTTGCTAAAACTGTAATAGCTGTAATCTTTTTATCTCTATTTTGTAATTTGTCTCTGACTTTATGGTTGACGTTTTGCATACACTGCCTATTCCTAAAGTCAGATCACATTAAATCATGTCAGATGACACTAGAATCACCATATATGCAAACATACTTTAAATGAATGGGGAAAAATTGCTGAAACAGAATTTATTTAGCAGACCCATTAAAGACATTTATTGCAAAAAGCACTCTTCATAGCAGGCATATTTTCAACTGCTAAAATTTCTGTTTCCTCAAGTAAAGCCTGACAAACAGTGATGAGACATGCTTTAGTAGTTCACTAGGATAACTTAGAAATTATCCACACTCTCTGTTGACATTTTGTTTTCTAAGAGGCTTATGTAAAAGATGCGGAGCCAATGACTCATTACTCAGTTATACAGTTTTGTTCAGAATCCTGTAGTGTATTTGATCCATGAATTGATTGTCTGATTCCAAAGTTGACTTCCAGAGGATAAAATCCTGAATTCTGCATCTTTGAGTGGAAAGGCTGTGTAAGAGATAATATGGAACAAGTAATGCATTGTTTCAAAATTGCAACCTATACTTAAAGACCACCCACTATATAAGACAAATGGTTTAAAAATGTGTCCTTCAAGAACTTGATCTTCAACAGAATGGGTAGCATAAAGCTTTGCCTGTATAGTCTTGTACTATTGGGACTAGAATATCAAAGCATGAGTAGCTTATTTATAAATGATTTTGCTGTTTCCTCTAAGTGGGTAAGGGTAGACATACATACGTTACCTGTCTGGCATTAAGTCATATAATTAAATCCATTGTGCAAACTAGCCATTCAATTAATAGTAGTTAAACCAACTATGACTTAATGCAATCTGTAAACCAGATCATAATTAGCCTGGGATGTTCTTAGAATCCCAGTTTTCTGAAGATGTTCCTTTTTTAAGAATATATTTATTTAATCTATATAACTGAATGCCAGTTGAATTTGTGTCTGTTTTCTATGTTTTAGAAGTTTTTAATATGCCTATGTAAAAGCAAAAGAATTAAAACAATGCCCACCATATAGAAATGTGATTATTATGCAAAATGGAAAGCATAGGGATTTACATGCAAAATAGGACGTAAACACTCCTCCAATATTTAGGATTCCTGAGAGACTTCACTGCCGCTGGTTTGAAGTTTAATTACTGTATATAAAATATGTTCAGTCTATCCAGATAAATACACTGTAAAGTGTATTTTTCCAAGTTCCTTTTTTAGTGACTAAGCTGATAAATCCAGGACTATAAGCTGAAGATGCAACAGGCTGTCAGGCTGAACCCAGATGTTCCTTTATTCAACTTTGTGCATATGCTTCTTTTTAACAGGAGTTTATTAGTTTCTGCAAACACTAGGGTTTGAGAACAGAATGGAACATTTTCATTATTGATAAGGAAATGTATCCATTCAGGAAGACTAACTGGGGGTGGAGAGGTAATTGGAGATACCAGCATCATTAAATAGCTTTATTTTCAAGCAATTGTAATTTATATAATAGAGCAGATTATTGTGACATTCTTTTTGACCTAAACTTGCATTGTTTAATTTTAGCTATATTTCCTTCTCCCTGTTTTAATGGCATGCCTACACTGTTGATTCAGCAACCTGTCTTGACGATATTATATAACAATCTAGTCTTACTGGGTTCTTTATCCAGTGTCCGATTACATCTTTCATAACCTCCTTCTAGCCAGGAACATGTTCTGTGTCATCATCAGTCATAGGCCTCCCTCTCATGAGAAGAGAACGAGAAGGTGGTGCTGTTTTGTATCCACCTTGTTGCTGCAGAGCAAGTTTTAGTTGCCTTTAGTGTTTTGGAAGGGAGGGCGTGACACTGTTGAATGGCAGAAGCAATTTTAGGAAAAGCTTCAGTCCCTCAAAGATGAGCAAATTTCAGCACAAGGTCTCTTTTGCTTCAGCAACAACAATCAGCTGGTTGGAACCAAAGATTTCTTTGCCAAATCACTTCAAAAATGGAGCTGATCAGGATTTCCCTGCAGATCAAACGAAGCCAGCATCAGTCAGACAGGAACAGTCCAGTTCTGAATCTGGTCAACTAATTATGGTAAGAGGTAAAACTCTTAGTTCTGCATTGTGGTTTTGTTTTTCCCGTTTTACTTTAAAGAAAAGGACCACTCTTGGAAGAATTAACTATAGTTAGTTAACTTTAGTCAGTTAACTATCTGACTAAAGTTTAAACTTAGAATAAGTATTGTTTATTAGTTTTTGCTGTTTTTTTAAGCAACAAATGTTGCTGAATATTGGGACAAATGAACATTAGTGAGACTGTAATTAATGTAGCTATATGTTGTTTTAAAGTAATATGTGGGTTGAACCATGAAAACTTTCAAGGAATGCAGATCAAGAACTTATAGGGGAATTTAATAGTAATTTGTTTTGCTTGACCTAGATAAAGGGATGTTTTGTAATATTAACAAGCTAGTAAAAGTATACTGTAATTAAATAATAAAAGTTAGATAAATTATTGCAGGAAGATGAAAGTAAAGGATTTATTGTATTAGTTTTGTAGCTACTGTTAGTTCTTTGTAGCTTTCTTTTCTTTGGGCCACTTCTCTAGTTATTATTTCTCCTTTTTATCCCATATTGTTTGAGTACAGAAATAACTAAGGAGCAGAGATGGCTTTGAGCCTATGTAGTTGCTCCATTTCTGCTTTCTTCTCTTGGCAAAGATGAGGTGGTTGTGATTACCATCCATCATAATTCTATGCCATGGGACTATATATTCTTATTTGCACTTGATTTACGAGGGCAAAAGCTCTGAGAGTACTATTTTGTGGTTTTAACCATTCAGTCATGTCGGACACTTGGCGACTTTATAGGCAAGTGCTCTCCATGCTTCCCTATCAAGCACAATGTCTTTCAGTTGTTGGAGATTCATCTTTGTATCAGTTTGGGTGCTATCAAGCCAGCGTGTTCTTTGCTTGCCCCTTTTCCTTGTTCCACTAACTATTCCTGGCATTGTTGACTTCTCCAGTGAATTTGCCAACATAACATGGCCAAAGTAAATCAGATGTTGTCTTGAGTTTTTGGGAGTGCTATTTAGTCAGGCTGTAATAATTGCCGGCTCTTGGCTTCTGATGACTGAGAAGGCATCTGGATAGCTGTTGCAGTAATAAAAGTATCCAATGACATCTGTACATGGACTATAGCCTAAGGCAGTGTTTCCCAAACTTGACAATTTTAAGGCATGTGGACTTCAACTCCCAGAATTCCACAGCCAGCGTTGCTGGCTGTGGAATTCTGGGAGTTGAAGTCCACATGCCTTAAAATTGTCAAGTTTGGGAAACACTGGCCTAAGGAAACGTCACAACTCCAGTGACATATGACATGCAGAAATGAAACCAAGCCACGTTATAAACAAAACTGAATAAACAATGAACTTGAATTCTGGAGAAAGTTCTGATAACCTGATAGAGTGCTAAAGTGATAGAATCTAGACATGTGTGTGCTTGTTGGGAGAGTGTGAAGAGAAGAGCAGGGAAGAGAAATAGAAAGTGATATTTCGTCTACAGCAACAGTTCCCTTTGGAAGACATGACATCTAGATATAAACAGGCAGTTTTCTTCTACGGGTTTATCTCTAGAAGAGATTTAATGATTGTTTACTGCAAATTCCACATTGTAACATAATTTAATATATGAGCTGGTTGCATTGTCAACACTAAAAAAAACCCCAAACTATTATAGGATCTTATTATAGTCTATAGCCTCATCTGTAGGTAAGCTAAAAGAAGGAGAATGTATGCATATTGATATCATTGTTTAAGAAAAGAAAAATCATTTGTGGCATTGAAGAAGTTGTCTGCACTGAGTTATGGCACCAAAAAAGTTCAGAATACTAAAGAATTTTAAATACCTTATGGTGTTTTTTTTTTTAGAATTTATCCCAGGAACCAGAGGAAATAAATCCAGAAGATGAGTTAGAAGACACATGTGAGAATAAAGAGGATGACCTTGGAGCTGTGGAAGAACAGCGCAGTGTTATCTTGCACCTTCTTTCTCAACTCAAACTTGGCATGGACTTAACAAGAGTAAGTTACTAAATATTGCTCTATATTAAAGGCAAAGAAATGTACTCCTATAAACTGGAGTTTGTCCTAGCCATTCTATGTTACAGTTTGTTCAGAGAACTGACTTAGGATTCAACCATCATATTAAAATAGTAATATCAAACATGATGTTTAGGATTTGCCCATTAATGGACCTGAAATGAGAGGCATGCTCTACGTTCAAAACTTGTTTAAGCTGGTAAATGTGAATTTAAGAAATGTTCATGGTGGAACTATATAATTCACATAACTATATAATTCACATATCATTTGTATCCTCTTTGTATGTCAGCACATTAAGTACTTCCTGATTGGTGAGATGCAGCAATGGTTTGTTGGCTTGCAAGATAGCCTTATGGATCCTAAGTGCCTTGTAATACTATGAACCTGATTGGGGTAAAATTGGGCTTTGGTTGGTCTTGTGAAATACTGATCAAAAGGTGTCAAAACTGACCCTTGTGGCCCTTGCCATTAGCAAAGAATGCTGGGAGTTGCATCGATATTACTCAAGCTGATAACCTTTATTTTTCAAATATTGATGAATATATGAATAGTTGATGAATAGATGCAGGGTGTCAAGATATAAGATTAACTATGAATAAGGGGGCTAGGATGTACGCCAGAAAGTATGAATTGATGTCATCTAAATTGTGTGATGCGTATGAAAGTAGGAAGTGGGATGTGATAGTTGCATGTGGTTTTGCCTGTGTGTTTAATTATAAGTTTATTCCTATGTATCCTTGGAAAAGGAATGAATGAAAAAGCACAATTGATTTGATCCTTCATGAAAGATTGTGAGAATTTAAGTCAGAAAAACGCATTTTTCTATGTTTTGCTTATTAATAAAAAATACAGCATGATAAACAAGAGAGATGAAATGAAACTTTAAAAAGAGATTTTGTATATAGATATAAATTGTATACAGATATAAACATATACTTTTTTCTTTAACATGCTATAAATCAAAAACAGATCTTCTTAGTTCTACAGTCTAAAGACATCTCAGAAGTCAACAACCCAAATAGCACATTTTCTAAATCCAGTCTTTAATATGTGGGATTTCTTTTTCTTTCTATCTTCAGAAAAATATTCTCTTGAAAAAAAAATGGATATGGAAGAAAAAGAAAGAAGTGAAAGAAAAAAGAGTGAAAGTAAACTAGCTGCAGGAAGAGAAAGTACTAGGGCAGTGGTGGTGAACCTATGGCATGGGTGCCAGAGGCGGCACTCAGAGCCCTCTCTGTGGACGCGCGCACTGTCGCCCCAGTCCTAGGCCTTCAGCTGGGTTTTATAAAACCTTTTTGCTTTAGGCCTCCACTGCCGTGTGCAAAAAAAAAAAAAAGGTTTAATCAATCAGTCAATTTCAACCTCGTGGGAAAAAAAAGATCTTGCACATTTAGAATTGATTGACTGAACTTTTTAGTCCCACCCAGTCTGCCGTTACCACCGCAGCCACGCCCAGCCAATGGGCCACCCCCCAATTGGCCACACCCAGCCAATGGGCCACACCCACCCAGCACCTGACGATGCATAAATGGGTTTTGGGTTGCAGTTTGGGCACTCGGTCTCTAAAAGGTTCGGCATCACTGTACTAGGGCTATATCAAAAAAAAAAATAAAAATAGAAGGTAGAATGAATGGAAACTGGCTGTAAGGAAAAAAGAACCTGAAAGCTGTTTGGAACAGAATGAAAGGAATTTTGTTTTGGCACCTCACAGAAATGTGTGAAGTTATGCTAATGGAAAGTAACAAAAAAGAATGTTTGATGGAACAAGAAGCTGAAAGAGACTGTCGATGAGAAAAATACACATGACAGAATGAAAGTTGAACCTGGGAGAGTGTGAGATTTGCTGTACAATATGCATAAAACAAAAATAGTTCCTGAGAATTGGATTAAAGAAAGCAAGGCTTGATTAAGATTAAAAGAGGATGGAAATTAAAAATGTTGTTGGAAATTAAAAAAATAGATTTGCAGAATGGATGAAAAGGGCTAAAAAAGGATCCTCCAGCAAAGCTAATGGAATGGAATTAAGAGTGACATTATTTGGGGTGAAACTGAAGTGGGAAATCCTAGAAAGAGATTTATCCCAAGAACAAAATTGAAATAAATGCTGGAAAAACCTTAGTGTCCAAAAAAAAGGGTAAAAAAATAAACGCTCCGAGAATCTTTAAAAATGGCAAATTTGCAGATGTAGAAGGTATAACTGGAAACGTTAAAATGTTGCTATGATTGTGTGAGTTTTCTAGTATACGTATGCATGTGCACGTGTGTACATCTGTAACTGGCGATAGGAAGACTGCAGTGGCACTTTTCCCTCTATAACAGAAAAATGCAAAATAAATAAATAAATAAATGCAAAATAAATAAATAAATACAGAGCAATTAGTTTGTTAAGTCTGCCTGAAAAGCTGTTTGGCAGAATTTTGATTGTCACTAAGTAAAATAAGTTCAGAGTGACTTTATGCCAGGCAGAAAGCGTCAGGTTTGATTTTTCAACAAGTCCTTGTCAAACATATGAATGTGAGAAAGTAAGTTTATGTTTGTTGATTTGGAGAAAACATATGGTAAGAGGAATTATGGACTGTTTTGGTGTGACTATGAAATTTAAGGTTGGTTGCTGAATGCAATAAAAGCAGTATGAGATGATGAAAGTAAAGCTGGTGTGAGACTAAATTGGAAAGTTAATGAACGGTCCAGCATAGAGCAGGGAAATGAGGCAAGGTTTTGTGATGTCCCCTCGGCTATACAGAAATATATAGGAAACACTTGTGCAAATGTTAGAAGTGATTTGGATGTCTGTGCGTACAAGTGACACCATGTCTTTTTTTTAGAAGAATCCAAATGCTCTGTAATGAATGTAAAATTGGATGTGCATTGAACATTATGGGTCTGCAAGTTAATGTATTAAAGACTGAAGTAGTTGTGTTTGATGGGGAAAATGGAATGAACATTTGTTACTTTACATTTGCGTGCCTTGGTAGAATATTTCTTAAAGAGGGAAAGGTAGCTAAATCAATTTTAAGATGTGCAAAGGCTGGTTGAAAAGTAGCGGGTGGCATGTGTTCCGTTGTCAAAAGAACCCAAAATAGCTAAGAATGCGCTGTGGCCTACATGTGAGTTGGGCGTACAAAAAGAAACTTAAAAAATAAGTTGAATACAACAGGAACGGGTTGCTTAAGAAGAGTTTATGACATAACACAAAAGTGTAGGGTCCAGACTAAATGGCTCCTAAATGAATTTGGACTATAAATGTTAGTGATCAATGAAATAGGTAAAACTTGTACAAGCCAGGCCAAAGTAATGATTGCTTACAAGAATAAAGTGTACAGAAAAATATAGTGAACAGTGATAGTTTAAACCAGGGGTTCTCAACCTTGGCAACTTTTAAGACTTGTGGACTTCAATTCCCAGAATTCCTCAGCCAGCAAAGCTGGCTGAGGAATTCTGGGAGTTGAAGTCCACAAGTCTTAAAGTTGCCAAGGTTGAGAACCCCTGGTTTAAACTATCTTCTCCTTCTCCTTCCTCCTCCCCTCTTCCCCTCTTCCCCTCCCTCCTCCCCCTTTCTTTTTCTCTTAGCAATGGCACTTAGACTTATATAGCTCTTCATAGCGCTTTACAACGCTGTGTACACAGTTTACAGAATCAGCATATTGCCCTAATAATCTGGGTCCTCATTTTACTGACCTCAGAAGGATGCAAGGCTGAGTCATCTCTTCCTCCTCCTCTTTCTTTTCCTCCTCCTCTCCCTCCCCATTCCACTTTTCCTTCCTCCCCTCCTCCCTTTAATTCCAAAATAACTTGTGGAAGCATAAAAGCACTGTGAATGAGAAAATATCAAACACTAAAAGCCACAAATGTACAACTGTCATATATGCCATTGTGCCTTCCATTAAAGCCTTTCCCCCGTCTTGTTGGTGCTCTAAAAAAAAAGAGAGAGAAGAAAATCAGAAAGTCGTTATGTATGTTTCTGTAATATCATTTTCTTTTATTGTAGGTGGTTCTTCCCACTTTTATTTTAGAGAAGCGCTCTTTATTGGAAATGTATGCCGATTTCTTGTCCCATCCAGATCTGTTCATTTCCATTTCCAATGGCACAAGTCCCGAGGAGAGGATGATCCGTTTTGTTGAGTATTATCTCACTTCCTTTCACGAAGGACGCAAAGGGGCAATTGCCAAAAAACCGTACAATCCAATCATCGGAGAAACCTTTCACTGTTCGTGGAAGACAATGAAGAGCGATGTACTGAACGGCACTAATAGTAACTCTTCCTCTCATTCTGCCTCTGAGCAAGTGCCTGTTTCAGATGAGAGCCAGGCTCAAGAAGAGTCCGACTCGTACACTGTCCGATTCGTTGCAGAACAAGTGTCTCATCATCCTCCAGTCTCAGGGTTCTATGCTGAATGTGTGGAGAGAAAGATGTGTGTTAACGCCCATGTTTGGACAAAAAGTAAATTCCTAGGCATGTCAATAGGAGTCACCATGGTTGGTGAAGGTAAGTGGAAAATCTTGTGGTGCTCCTTACACTCTTTGAACAGTTGCGATCTACAGCTCTGGATAGTTGGATTTTAGAAAGAATGTTATTATGCGTCAAGCTGTGATGTAGTGCTGATCTTTTGACCGCAGCCTGCTCCCATCTCACGACTTCCTAAAGCAGTGGTTCTCAACCTGTGGGTCGCGACCCTTTTGGGGGTTGCATGAGCCTTTCACAGGGGTCGCCTAAGACCATCGGAAAACACATATTTCTGATGGTCTTAGGCAGGGCTTGTCAACCGCCTTCTCTCCCTTCCCCCCTCCACTCCACCTCACTTGTTTGTGGAAAATATGCTGCTTGGCGGCAGTCTGCACAAACTCTACCAAATGTGCCCTGCAGGGGGTGCATGAAGAGCGCCCTGCCCTCCCCAGAGACTCATTGTGCAGCAACCGGATTGACTTCTTCTCGTGCACACAGGTCAGCAAAGGGGAGGCCGCTGCAGCACCCAACTCCTGCGCCCGTCAGCTGGCGACCCCCGAACTTGCGCCAGCTGACACAAGAGGGAGGGAAGGAGGAAGGGACTCTTCTTCCTCTCCTAAGCTTCAAAGCACGATTGGCTTCCCAAGGGAGCCACAATCCTCATGAAAGCGGGGGAGGGGAGAAGCAAAGGGGGCGAGAAAGCTCGCAGCGGGCTCGAAGCAGCATCTGCCAGTGTTGGTGACGAGAAATTCCCCACAAACCCAGGGAAGGGTGGAGAAAAGGAGCCCCCTTTGGGAGGAAACAGCCACCTTCTTCTCCTTGGCTTTGCGCTCTTCTGTTTCTCGGCAGCCGGGCTGGCAAGCCTCTCCTGGCTGGAACTTCCTTTCCTTCCCTCCCTCTTGGTCTCTTCCTCCTTCCCTACCTCTCCCATTGTTCCTTCCTTCCTTCCTTTCCTTCGCCTCCCTCTTTGTCCCTCCTTCCCTCCCTCTCCCCTTGTCCCTTCCTTCCTTCCTTCCTTCCTTCCTTCCTTCCTTCCTTCCTTCCTTCCTTCCTTCCTTCCTTTCCTTCGCCTCCCTCTTTGTCCCTCCTTCCCTCCGTCTTTCCCCTTGTCCCTTCCGTCCTTCCTTCCTTCCCTCTTGTCCAGGATCGGGGCGAGCCTCTACAGCTGATCTGTGCTTCTGCAGCTGTAGCTGCTCTCCTTGGCTCCTGCCCAGCAAACGTGCTTGCTAGAAAACATGTGCTTGCTAATTTAGCAGAAGCGCGAATCAGCTGTAGCCCGGCGCTGATCCTGGAGCTTCTGCTAACTTAGCAAGCGGTATGCCTTTCAGCAAAGCTGAGCAAGTGAGCTGGGCGAGCTCTCCTCTGTCTCTGCCTGTGCACAGGCAGGTTTGCCGGCAGTAAAGCCCCCAGCCATGCTGGCAGCCTATCTCCCTCTCCTTGTCCCTTCCTGGGCACAGAGGGGGGGGAGGAAGGAATTCTGGGAGTTGAAGTCCACGAGTCATAAAAGAGCCAAGGTTGCCTCCCCCTGCACTATAGCATCCCTAACAAATGGCCATGCAGCTAGTAGTTAAATACTTAAAGTGAAAAGAAGATCGCCATGTAAGATCCTGCCTTGGCTGTCTACCCAGGAAAGCATGACTCTTGAAACGAACATTATTTCAAAGGAAACTTTTACTGAGAGAAAGTGATTGCAAGGCAGTCTGGCAGAACCTGAAGTTTCCGCACAAACCGTTAAGCTAAATTCCCCAATATGCAAACCCCACCCCAATGCCCCAGTCCATCAGCAGCCAATTCGCTGGTGTGAAGTTGTCTAAGGTGATAAGAAGTTGTCTAACACAGGTCCCCAACCCCCGGTCCGTGGCCCGGCACCGGTCTGCAGTATACCAACAAGCGGGCCGCACAAACAAGCAAAGTCCATCCTTGGGATGCAGGCAGTATTCAAAACCATGCCCCCTCTGGTCCATAGAAAAACCTTTCTCCATGACACTGGTCCCTGGTGCTCAAAAGCTTGGGGACCTCTGGTCTAACAAGTCTGATGGCCCATCTCCCCCCCCCTCCCAAATTCCCATGCAGATACATCAAAGCAAAGCAACAAATTCTCTACTCCCCAATTTAAATCCCCCCTCCCCTCAGAATGACAGCGTTCCGAAAGGGACCTGACATGCCATTGCTAAGGCGGTTTGTTGTTTAGTAGCTCCTATCCCTAGGAAGTTCTTCCTGATGTCCAGTTGTAATCTGTTGCTATATAATATATACCCATTATTCCTTTTCTATCTGCCTGAAAATCTACAATGTCTTTTATATCAGAGATCCCCAACCTTTTGGGCACCAGGGACTGGTTTCAGGGAAGACAATTTTTCCATTGACCGGGGGGGAAAAGGGGGGGAGGTTTCAGGAAGATTTAAGTGCTTTATATTTATTCCAAATTTTCTAAATAAACAAACAAATAAATAATGCACTTTATTTCTATTATAACATTGCATTAGATTAGACCAGTGACTTTCTGCTTCTAAGAAAATGGGAAGGAAAAGAGACAATCCTAAACTCAGCCTTCCAGCAAAACAAACCAAAGACCCAGCAGGTTGAGGAAGTGCTTAGAAAACCATTGAGAGAGGGGGGGCGGTACCAGTCCGTGGACCAGGGATTGGGGACCCCTGTTTTATATGATAGCACTTCATGTACTTGAATACAACTATTATGTCTCCCCACAGCCTTCCCTTCTCCAGAATAAACACATACAACACCTCCACATCATAGGTTTTTCCTTCCAGGCTCCTTATCATCTTGGTTACAATCCTCTGGGCACACCTTGGTTTGACAATGTCAATTCTTAAGATGCAGCACCAAGAACTAAACTTGACGTTCCAGATGTGCTTTTACCAATGTAGAATAGAGACATGATGTCCTTTCTTGATTAAATCCTTCTGTTGATGCAGTTTAGGACTGAATTTGCTTCTTTTGCAGTTATATCACACTATTGCTTGCCTGTGATCCACCATTTCCTGAACTCACCTTTCTTTTTCCTTTTCATATGAAAGACTATGTTATCTGTGTTGAAATTCACCTTCCAGGATTTTCTCTTTGTTCTGGTTTATCAAAGCCGTTCTGAATCTTGATACTGCTCTCTTTGCTATCCCTCCTCATTTTTATCTCAGAGAATTTTTTTTTCTATTTACTAATTTCTCCTGCAAGTTGTTTATACACATCAGGGCCTAGAATAGAACTCAGTATAAAATTCCTTTTTTAGTGACCTTCCATAGCTAGGACAGCAATTAAACAGTAGCTTTACGATCAGTCCTTGCATTTTTGACCTTCACAGGTCCATAAACCAAAGGAAAACTGAAGTAAGCTTATAAGCAGGGGAGCAGTTTCGCTTAGTGATCATTGAACTTAACAACAGAGTTGCAGGTCTCATTCTGTTGAATGAGAACTACTTGTAATCATTCCATCTTGATGCCCTTGATATATTTGTTTTTATGGGTATGATTGTTCTGAATCCAACTAGCGCCAATATCGTCCAGTCCGTATTTTGCCATATTCTCCACTATGATCTCATGGGAGGCTTGCTATGATAAACCAATGCCAGATCCTGCCGAATAATGCATTTTGTTCTTGTCTGGAAAAAAACCAGATTTTAAAACAAAATGAAATATGAAATGCCTTATAAGTGCACACAAAGATAATTGCCCTGCTAATTAATTGTAATAAAGGCTTGTCTAAATCACAAAGGAGCAAAGAGAAATAAATGTTTTGAGAGTTATAACAAGCTTTGTAATACCGCTGGAATATAAGGGGTTTTTTTTTTAGAAGCAAGATGGCTTTTAGGTTTCAAGATTGAAGAGATAATTAATGTGGTTTCAGTCTCCACAGGTTTCCTAATTTCCACGTGTGAACTTTATTTCCCAATCGGGCGATGTGTTGTGTTTCATCCAGTTTATTTTTCAGTTTTTCTTCTGCTTGTGCATTCCCATTTATGCCACGTCTTAGGTCCATAAGCCCTTTTGCTGAATCTGTAATATTACCTATAAATAATTGGCTTTAATAGGTGATGCATATCCAGCCCAGGAGTAGCAGTGAAAAAAGTCAGTTTTGCTCCACATCTCATATTTGTAATATGAAGCTATGTGGCAATATTTATCAGTTTTGGTTTTTGTTTTTAATTAGATTTTTTTTCATCCTGCCTTTATTATCACCTCAGAACAGCATGAATTTAGGGGAGTGGGAATATAGAAATCACTGCACAAAAAGCAAGATATTCCCTAGGTGTACTGGACTACAGAGCTAATAATGCTAACCTAGCAGAAACATTTGCCATAATGGCTAAGAGCAGACCTGGGCATTCTACGGCCCATGGACCACATCCGGCCTGTGATGGCCTATGGGCCACATCCGATCCTTTAGCTGTCCCTGTCTGACCCACAGCAGTGGCCACGGCAGCCCTATTGGTTTGGCCCTCCACAACAGTCCCAGTTTCCCATGCAGCCTCTTGGGAAAATTAATTGCCCACCCCTGGCTAAGAGGATTGTGGGGTTTGTTGTGCAACTCTCCTTGATGGCACCAGCCCCCACTTTGGGACTTTCAACCTTATTTCCCCAAACCCCAGAGGGGGCAGGCCTTCTGAAAGGCGGGTGAAAAGCTCCACTTTTTCTTGTGCATTTTAGTGATTAAATTGGGGGGGGGGGAAACCCTACCCCACAGGGGACTAAACTTTTTCGTATTTTTTTCTTAATCCCATGGAATCTATTCAAGTCCTCACAGAACCCTAAAGTTCTGTGGAATTCAGTTTGAAAACCCCGATTAAACCTGAACTGATTAATTTATTCCTGTTGGGTAAACTGCCCAGATCCTGTTTTCTCTCTTTACAACAAATATGTTTCCCCCAAGTCGAGTTCATTTAGTACTAAAAAAAAAAAAAGAAGATTATTTTTGTTTGCTATCATTTAAGTTACACTGTATTGCAAAACTGACTGGTAATATAGAATGAAAATGATACCAAAATGCAAGGTATGCATAGACATCCGGTGTAGACCTCTGCAAATCCTGTGATGTAAACCCAGAAGACCCGAGTTGTTTTTACTTAATGTGGATTTCATAGTTATTCTTTCCCCCCTTACAGGTACTTTGAGTCTTCTGGAACGTGGAGAGGAATACACATTCTCCTTGCCTTGTGCATATGCTCGATCAATTTTGACAGTCCCCTGGGTAGAACTGGGAGGGAAAGTCAGTGTTAATTGTGCAAAAACTGGATATTCTGCAAGTATTACGTTTCATACCAAGCCTTTCTATGGTGGCAAACTTCACCGGCAAGTATTTCTGTCCGGCGGGACTTTGTTTTGTTTTGTTTTAATTGTAATGCTATGCAATATTGTAAATTGATTGTGTGTGTTTCTGAAGCCCTCTTGAAGCAAGATATTAGAAATTAAAGTACTTATGTCTCAATTCATCTGTCTGTTTATGCTGGAGACTTGGAAAATGCATCGAAAGAAGTCAAATCATTTTTATAAAATTCTTTTAAATTTGATTCCAAAGTAACCTTTAATGGCGTTAGCAAAATTCTACAAATTTTGTCAGAATTATGTTCCAAGTAAAAACATCCAATAAATGCCTTTACTTAGCTTGACTCTAAGACTATAAGTGCCAAACAAAATGACTGGTTAGGTGTTTTCTTACCTTTTTCCCACTTTTTTTTTTTTTAAAAAAAGAGGAATAAGGGTTTCTTCAACCTTATTTGAAGAACCTTAATGTATCATCTGGTGGATGTTCATCCAAAAAATAATACAGGTATTCCTCGACTTACAACAATTCATTTAGTAACTGCTCGAAGTTACAACGGCACTGAAAAAAAGGGACCTCTGACCGTTTTTCACACTTACAACCATTGCAGGTGATCAAATTTCAGATCTTTGGCCACATATTTATGAGGGTTGCCGTGTCCCAGGATCACGTGACCAAACTTTGCAAACTTCTGACAAGCACGGTCAATGGGTAAACCGGGTTCACTTTATTAACGTTTACAACACTTTTATTAGCTTAACAGCTGCAGCAATTCATTTAACAACTGCGGCAAAAAAGGTTGTAAAAATGGGGCAAAACTCACTTAACAAATGTCTCATTTAGCAACAGAAATTTTGGGCTCAATTGTGGCCGTAAGTTGAGGACCACCTGTAACTGGTTTTAGTGGTTTTAAAAAACATTTGGAAATGATCTTCCCAGTCTTAACCTGAGAATACTACAGATATCCCAAGCTACATTCTGCAGTCTTCAGAACCTGACTTTCTGGCGGCCAATTCGCTACCAAGCCCGAGTCCAGGTTTCCTAAGACCAGGGGTAGGCAACCTTGGCTCTTTTATGACTCGTGGACTTCTACTCCCAGAATTCCTGAGCCAGCCATGCTGAGGGAAAAGGGAGAGGTTTCCAAGCTGAGCCATGCTGGCTCAGGAATTCTGGGAGTTGAAGTCCACGAGTCATAAAAGAGCCAAGGTTGCCTACCCCTGCCCAAGTCTTATTGTGACAGATCGGACCATTGCTGCACTTGTCAGAGGTTTACCTGCAATGAAAGGCAGGTCTTCTCGGTAGCGATGCTTGCACCTGGGAACGTTTCTCCCAGCCCCTGAAAACCGGGAAGGGTCTAGTGATGCACTTTGTCACGGGTGTCAAACTCAATCACATCTCGTGATGTATTGCGATGTTTTTTTTACCTTTGCGGAGCCAGGGTGGGCGTGGCCTGCACATGACCTATTCGGCCCGTGGGCCGCCAGTTTGACACCCCTGCACTTAGTCCTCACTTACTGACTGCCTCATTTAGTGACTGTTGGAAGTTAACGATGGTGTAAAAAATTAGCTTTGCAACCGGTCCTTATATTTACAACCATCTTAGCATCCCGTGGCATGGCCTTTTGTGTATTTCACAACAGATTCGTGACAAGCAGTGCTAACAGAGAAGGCGGAAGTAAATTCACAAATTACAGTCATGTGATGTTTCGCTTAGTGACCGAAGGAGAGGTGAAATTGTAAGCCTATTGTGATCACGTAATTTTCCACTTAGCAACTGAGGCAGTTAGCAACAGCATTGTCTGTCCCAGTTGTGGTCACTAAGCGTGAACTATTTATAAATCTTTTAGGCAGCCTTTGAAGACTCTTCTCTTTCCTGTATGAATACTGGATGTGCTTTTTAAACTTGTACTTTTCTTTCTTCCTTTGTGAATTTTGAATACTTTATAGTTTTTTCAGTTTAATACTCGTTGTTGCCATTGGATGGGAAGCAGTGTAGAATTAGATTAAATAAGAAATAAAACCAACTACTTGATCTGTTCATTCAAAAATCTAGAAAATGTTTATTATTGAGTTACGCAACTAAAATCACTATTCCAGTGACTGTGATTCTCCAGAAATCTGTCTTTCAGAAGGGGATTGGTGTCTGATGTTCTGGATGTAGTCTGGTCCTGAGTTATTCTACAGTGCTAGGATTACACTTTGGGAGAAAAACAGAACATTCTAGAGGATACTGGGATGGTCTATACCTAGAATAAGTTTATTGAAATTACACCTTTCGCGAGAAAGCAAAATATTATAGCATTGTTGCACAGCAGTATTTGGAAGTACCTGTATGTGTAGCTCATATTTTCCATAAGGCTTTGGCTAATTTTTTTCAGCTATTTTATCTGTCCTTAGATATCCAACAGAGTCGGTGAAAAAGTGTTCTTTAAATACTGCTGTAACAAGGAGTGGTATTTTTCAGAACTTTCTCAGGAATTTTATATTCACTGTACACTTCATAGGGAATATATTGCTAATGGCCGAAATTCTGCAACATGAATGGCTTCTTTGCTTAAATAAATGTTGTGATTTATTTCTGGCTGTGGTAGTATTATTTGTAATTGTTTCTACTAATTAATTGTATTATTTGAACGATATCGGTTTAAAACTTTTTGCAGAACAATATATAAAATGAATTTAATTGATTGATACTGTAGGTGGAAAAGCAAGGTAGATTTCCCTGATCAGTGTATCAGAAAAACCTGCAGCTTTTTATCCATTCCAAATTTACTGCCTATTAAATGTATATTGAGTATAATAGCTCTCCTAAAGAGGCATTCATAGTCCCAGCTAAACTCTATAGTATAAGCAAAAAATATTGTTTTAATGGTATATTAAATTGGGCAAAGAGATATTGTTATTTCATTCATTGTACTTTTAACATTACTTGATATACCACATGCTTTTTAGCAGTATATTTATTATACTGTATTGGGTGATTATTAATACTAAAAAACAATTTTATTCATTTCACATGAAGATTAATGAAGAGAATGTAAAAAGTGAACAGTTTTCATTAGCATTGAAAATGCAGGTTGTTTTTTTTTTTAAATAGGGATGTAAATAAGATTGCAGGCAGGCGACTATTTTTAACTGTTCCAAGTTCTGCATTACTTCTTGTTTCCATATTTGAGCAATATACTATTTTCATCTGATGGTTATCTTTTATCGCATCTTTTTTTCTGCTGCTTTCAGGGTCACGGGTGAGGTGAAGCAGAATGCTACTAACACAGTGGTTTGTAAAGTACAAGGTGAATGGAATAGTATCCTTGAGTTCACTTATAGTAACGGAGAAACTAAATGTATGGATTTGTCAAAGTTGTCTGTGACACGGAAAAGGGTGCGGCCCATAGAGAAGCAAGGGCCATTCGAATCCAGGTGAGGAAAAAATTGTATGTTTTCAAAATTCTCTCTTAATGGAATACAACCTCCAGATGCGTGCAGTATGTAGTTCAGACTAGTCCAGGGGTAGGCAACCTTGGCTCTTTTATGACTCGTGGACTTCAACTCCCAGAATTCCTGAGCCAGCATGGCTCAGCTTGGAAACCTCTCAGCATGGCTGGCTCAGGAATTCTGGGAGTTGAAGTCCACGAGTCATAAAAGAGCCAAGGTTGCCTACCCCTGGACTAGACGATTCCTCTCATTTTCAACTGAAGATCATTATTTGACAATCCAGCTTTTGTACATGTGTTTTGTATGTCTATTACAGCAGTCAAATTATGGCCCACAAGTAGCATGTGATCCTCCTCAGAACACATTTAATTTTAGGGTATTGGATCTGGGAGGAGGCATCGACCTTAGCTGTTTTTAAAGAATAAAACTGGAAGCAATATATTGTCGAGAGGCATTTCGTTTCCACTCATGAACGTAAAAAACTGAATCATACCTTCCAAATGGGCTGGAAAATTGGTTCTGTCCCCTTGCTGGGATGTTACTATTTTTCTGGTGATATCACCTTCCAGTGTCTTAATTGGTTGGAAGAGCAGGATGCAGCCCCTCACCAAGGAAAAGCTGTCTACCCCTGTCTTAGATTGTTCATCAGTGCAACTTGTTCATTCAATGCCACAGTTTTGTTTCCAGTTATATCTAACTTGAGTATAATGGCAATAATTTACTCATCTTTATCAAGTGTGCCCAGTTGTTAAATATTGAGTTTTCCAATCTTTTTTTTAAGGGAGATATATCATATAGGAAATGCAGGGATGTCTTAACTCTTTAAGTGGGCGATAGTTTCATTCTAGTACACATTGAAATATAACCAATAGTTGGGCATTTCCTTGTGTCTTTCAGTGTCCCTTTACATAAATCAGGGGGGAATCATCCATTCTTTTAATTGGAAAACTAACCACAGATGCAGATATCACATCTATGTGATATCCCCAGTTATACCAATCACTGTCTGAATGTGGTGGGATGGGGCTTTGTGGTGATCTTGAAATACAATGCTAAATTCCTCATTTTGGGTGGGGAGGACATTGCAGGAGAACACTGGAAGAAATTACAGATGGGCTGCTTGTTTAGTGCGACTGAGATTTCAGGTGTTAGTTGGACAGAATTTTAAAAGGTGACCTTCTAACCCAGTGTTTCTCAACCTTGGCAACTTTTAAGACATGTGATAGACTTTAACTCCTAGAATTCTCTAGCCAGTATGCCTTAAAGTTGAGAAACATTATTCTAATCCTTTGCCTTATCATGATTGTTTGAGCTGAAATAGGCCCGAGGGGGATATTTGTAAGATTAGGGCAGCGGTTCTCAACGTTTGTGTGACGGCGACCCCCGTCATACAAACGTTATGTGCATGCGCGGTGCGGCGCGCATGGAGGCGGTGCCCCCATGCACGGCCCCCCATGCGCAGCGCCCCCATGCGCGGCGGCGCCCCTGGAGGCGCGGTGCCGCCCCCGGAGGGGAGGAAATGGCGGATCGCCGCCTTTGGCGACCCCCGAAAAATGGTCGATCGACCCCAAATGGGGTCGCGACCCATAGGTTGAGAACCGCTGGATTAGGGGAATTGTTAGCAAAAAACAAAGGATGAAACAAGTATTCATTCTGGTTTAGGGACTCTATTTTTAGACAAGAAAGTGTTTGGATGAAGTAGGTGATAATACCAGTCTTCTCCCCCCCCCCATGGGATGATTATAAGTGAATTATGGGAATGAGACTGGTAAAGGGCTGAGGAAGATTTAAAGGGGTGATAGTGGGAAGGGAAGGGAACGTAACCCATAGTTTTAACCAAGGGATAAGAAAAACTGCTTTAGTTAGGGAGTGCACTTCCAGGACCCAGTTGAGGGGCAAAGCAGATCTGGGCAGTTGTTGGAAAGAAGCACTTATTTTCAGCCTACCAATCATGCAATATCTGAGAACTGACATGGTTTGTTATGGGGTTTTTGTTCAAATAAATTCACGAGCCCAGCACCTGAAGGACAGCAAGGGCAGGTTCCTGGAGTATTCAATAAATAGTAGTCTTTCTGCCCTCATGCTACCTTTTTACATCTATTGTGGTTATACTCCTGGTCATGCCTTTAATAAAGGTTGCAGCAGCCTCAGCTTGAATTCCCTTCCTCCCTGTCAAATTCAGGAAACTCTGGCAACACGTGACAGAGTCCTTGAGGCAAGGGGACATTGAAAAGGCCACAGAGCATAAGAAAGTCCTTGAAGAACAACAGAGAAATGAGGAGAGGCTCCGGATGGAGACAGGCACCCCATGGCAGACAAAATATTTCGTTCAGGATGTAAGTAATGAAACTTAAACAGAAGAGCAGAAAGGTGAGCCTTCAAACCCCAAATATAGGACCATGGCTGCGTGCTTGGCTTTGAAACACCGTTGAGGCCTCAACTGCTGGCTCCTCTGTGTGAGTTTCAAGGCCTGCAGCAGATATGAGGGTATCTTTCCAGGAGGGCATTTTCTCACGCCTGTTTTTGTTTCTTGGCATTGCACAGTCTATATCTAAACGGAAGGAACAGTGCAAGATAAGTTCTTCCTTCCATAGATACAAGATGGAAACCCCTCAGCTAGTGCCTGGCGGGCTTCTCCAGATATTTCAGGTCCCCTTACTCTCTCTCTCTCTCTCTCTCTCTCTCTCTCTCTCTCTCTCTCTCTCTCTCTCTCTCTCTCTCTCTCTCTCTCTCTCTCTCTCTCTCTCTGCTTTGGACATCTTTGCAAGTGCAAAGGAAGCTGAGAAGAGATACAATGGCACTGAGAGGGTTGCAAGTGCTGCTCTCTTTTGTTCTGCTTCTAATTCCTCCTCCCTCCCCAATATATCTCTCCTAGCCCCAATACAGATTCACACTTTTTCTGTCTGTTTTACAAGTTTCGAAATGGTCACTTTGGCTCGGCATCTTTGTAGAATCATAGAGTTGAAAGGAAGGGGCAGTTCCAGCAACAATCCTCTGTCCGGTGCAGGGACCCGTTTTTAAGGCTTGTGCTTGAGCGATGGTTGGGCACATACTTCAGAGGGAAGCTTATAGTACAGTGTTTCTCAACCTTGACAATTTTAAGGCATGTGGACTTCAACTCCCAGAATTCCACAGCCAGCAATGCTGGCTGTGGAATTCTGGGAGTTGAAGTCCACATGCCTTAAAATTGTCAAGGTTGAGAAACACTGTTATAGTAAATGCTTCTTCCTTTGCTTTTCTGGCTCCTGCTGAGCTGAAATCTGCCTTGTTGTAATTTAAGACTATTACCCCACTCTAGACATTAGAGAAGGGGCCCTGGTTTTCCTCCCAAGCAATAGCTCTTCGGGTGGTGAAATGTGACCACCTCATCTGCCCCTTTTACCAAGGCTTATCATGCCCATTTTTCTTAGACTCTGGTAAGGTCCAGTCTTCACACACCCGGTCATTCTCGTAGTAGCCCTTCCCTGCATTTTTCCTGTTGTGGTTCTAGAACTGGGCATAGTATCTGGGGATGAGGTTTAAGCAGTGCAGAATGCAGAATAAGTGATAAGCATTCAGAGGGGAGGTTTTGGTCAGTCTGGCTCGTTTACTTCAGCATTGGTTCTGTAGGCATTCAAACTGATTATACGTCTCAGGGAAAAGGATAAAATAAGTATATATTGCCTAGATAAGGTGAGGAAGTTAAAAGCCAAGTTGCTCAATTTCATCTACTTTCTGTGTGCATACAGCATGAACTACTTAAAATACATCCCAGTTACTGACATAATTCTTTGTCAGATATTAAATTAACAAAAATGTTCTTGCCCTCTATCTTTATTGTAAAACTGCTGTCTGATCTTGGATTGTAAATATACTTGATCCGTCTACTTTCTTTCACATTTATTCCTTGGATTGCTGATGGAGATTGGCAGGAGCTAAGATGAGCTCATGGCTAGAATGGGATTTAACAAGGCAGCTAGGCTGATTTATAACACAAGTCCAGATCATTAACCACAAGTGTAATGTACTAGGAAAATGTCTCAAAACTGGCACCAGACTATAGATTGTGCTTTTAAGGTACAGATAACCCATTATCTCCTTTAGGTAGAATGCAACCCATAGTTTTCCCATGTGAGAATGGGTCACAGTGTTCTGGGCTTGCATAACTGCTGTTTTTCTATGTACTTTCAAATCCACCAGAGGGCACTCTTCCCTTTTAAGTTTTAAACTATTCACAATGGCCTACAACAGTGGTCTCCAGTCTTGGCAACTTTACGACTTCTGGACTTCAACTCCCAGCATTGCTGGCTGAGGAATTCTGGGAGTTGAAGTCCACAAGTCGTAAAGTTGCCAAGGTTGGAGACCCCTGGCCTACAATGTCCAAGCTTGGTCCGCTGTGACTTTCAGCTACAGTGAGTGGGAATAATCAAATTATAGTTTGGGATCTTATGAGTTAGTGATACACAAAGCTACAGACTATTTGATGTTTAGGGCAATGTGTGTTTGCTGTTGGGCTAATGTGGAAACCATTCAAACCTTCAGTCTGTTCTCTCTTTGCAGGGAGATGGCTGGGTTTATTATAACCCTCTCTGGAAAAAGATGCCTGCAGTACAAAATCATGAAGTGGACACTAACTAGATGCATTTCTTCATAATAATAATTCTTCTCTTTTGTCTAATCTGTACAACTTCCAAAATGCTGTACCTTGACTATGAGTCCTTTTGGATTTTTATACAATTGCACAAAAATTAAATAAGCAGAAAAAAGAATAAAACTTCTAGGGCACTTTAAAGTTGTAGAAAATCAAAAGGTAGGTGAAAGGACATTTCCGGCTATGTTTCTACTCCCTCATTTAAAAACCCTACAACCTTATTTGGCACACAACATTTTATTTGGACATTGTCTTTTTAAGCACACTCTGCAAAAGCTGCCTAAGATTTCTTTTTTGAATAAAACAAAACAAACCAACTTAGCTGCAGAGGCATTGAGAATTGGCTAGGCTACTTTGCTCCAATGGATATACATCCGGAATAAAACCCAAACAGTGTTTTTAAAATCGGGGGTTCAGTTTGCACCCATTTCTGAACTACTTTAGTGCTCCTGTAAAGAGAAGCCACCTTTTTGCTGCTTCGAATTACCTTTGCTGAAAATCATGAAGAGGAGAACTTTTCATAGATCTAACCTTGGAATCAGTGTTATGAGATGCCTGGATGAGAACTTGATACTACTTTTTTAAAGCTGTTTCTTGGAGGCAGTGCGTGCATAGTTGTGGAATAATGGGGGATTCATGTAAGCTACAACATATTTAAAACATTGTAGTGTAGATTAGAATTGATTAAGGGGTGTTTTTTTCCTCCTGTCTGTAAAAAAAAAAAAGACGTGGAAGAGAAAGATGGGGCAGAGGGTAAAATTCAGACCAATTTCCATTATTTTTCCAGCCTCATTTCTTTAGTGAGGTGTTTGTAATTGTTTCACACTGTAAATACCATGAAAATATTTAGTCTCCTCATAAAAGAAGATTGAGACTTGAATTATGCAACTTTTTTTTTTTAAATAAAAGGTTACTTCCTTTATCTCTCTGCCCCCCTCTCTCTCCTTGCATCTGCAAAACAGAGTTAATGTTCTGAGCTGTCCGGGCGAGTAATTTCATTTCTCTGTTCAAAGTCAAGCATTTGTATGTGCCCATCAAGTAGAAGGACTGTACCTTTAATTTTTCTATAGTACCTGAAAAGGCTTGCTTTTTTTGCTATGGGGGTGCATACAAAACCAAATGCAATCTGATACCAGGAACCCATGGTCAGGTAAATGTACCCCTTGTCTTTTATATTACCAATATTTTATTGAAGTCCAAGAATTGCTGGCAATTAAGAATAGTACTGATTTATGGCTTTCATTCTTATTACTATGAGCTACCTTAATTTTTCTAAGAGTTGTGCCTTATTCTATTTCTTATGATGTAGTCTTCCAATCAGTGTATATACCATAGTCAACAAAAAACAGCCCCTCCCTTCCATCATGAAAATGTATGTGTATGTGTGTTTGTCAAGTGTTTTTATTTTTCTTCCATACACAGGGACATATTAGTATATTTAACTACCCACGTGTGGTTTAATAACCACACTTACGTTTCACAAAGGCTAAAAAGAACTCAGAGGAATGAGCTGCATATAGGTTGATATTCCCTTGTATTTCTTTTTCTTTTTATTGTGAAATGCATTGAAACCTTACTGTGAGTTGTGTATGATACCATGTGTGATTAATGGGGAGGGACGGAAATAAAATGATCAAAAGGAAATTTTGTTTTCTCTGTTTTAATAATAACGAAGTAATCGGCGCTGATTGTACTTGGCGCTGTAGAGGGTGGATGCTAAGTTTCCAATGCTTTTAATTGCTGATAGTATCTCTCTTCTTCCTCCCTTATAAAACTCACATGTCAGATTATGGTGATTCTAGGTAATTGAACGATATACTATAAGCAAGCGCTCAGCTTTCAGGATCTTCAGGGTTCTGCTGAGTAACAATGGAATAGGTCAGGGGTAGGCCACCTTGGCTCTTTTATGACTCATGGACTTCAACTCCCAGAATTCCTGAGCCAGCCATGCTGAGGGAAAAGGGAGAGGTTTCCAAGCTGAGCCATGGTGGCTCAGGAATTCTGGGATTGAAGTCCACGAGTCATAAAAGAGCCAAGGTTGCCTAGCCCTGGAATAGGTGAACTTTCAATGAGAGGGGCCAATCAAAGGGAAAAATGGGTCAGACCGTTTATGATTTTAAACAGATTTGTCCTAAATAAGTTTCACCAGTTTCAATAGAACTTCATTTCAGTTACCATAAGCATCGCAGTCACATATATGTAAATAACTGAAACTTGTGCACGTAGAGAGTTTTATGATGGGATCCAATTGTAATTCAAGCTTTGTATCAGGACTGGTCCAAAAATGCCCTGAATTCACAAGGAGAACTAAGGAACTTGGATGAGAAGAATGTTTGTGCTGAAAAGTCCTAACTCCGATTTAGAGGTCCACAGGCTTGAAATTGATTATCTGTTTATGCTCCTTAGATACAGAGGGGGAAAAAAAAGAATTAAAGAACAAGTGATTCACATTTTCTTCAGTTAAAATATGGATTCTGGCTGTGATGGAGAAAAGATGGTTTCTAAGTAAAATTCACAATAAGTTACTTCAGGATTAAGCTAGCAGATTTAGATTTTGGATTCATATTAGTTAACAGTTTCTTTAAATGATGTAACAATGTTTCACAGCAAAGTTGCTGGGTTAACACGGGTGTCAAAGTCAGATCATGTCATGTGACATCTCAATGTATTTGTCTTTGCGGAGCCAGGGTGGGCGTGGCCTGCGTGTGACGCATCCGGCCCGCGGGCTGCCAGTTTGACACCCCTGAGTTAACACATTCCAATAAGTGATTTTTAAACCACTCCTTAACCCATTATGCTATGGTTCCCATATATGTAAGTCATAAATCATGGCTTATAAGCTGTGATGGCTGTTTTTACATGTCATATTTAAACCAGAGGCAAGCTGTAATCTGGCTTTGTGCATTAACTGAATCTATTAGAAATATTTAAAAAATCTGTGATAAGAATTTGGTTTTTAAAAAGTAAGAAACTTCAGCTTTTACTTGGTTAACATCTTTAAAAAAGTATTCTTTAGAAAGACGATAGACTGGGTCAGTATTTAGACCATCTTAAAGGATGAATATTTAAGAAGAAAAATGTTTTAAATGCAAAAACAAATGCCTTGTGTATTAATGTATCTGCCTTAGCATGAGTGGTCTTTATTCACACATCAGGGTTTACCAGTGCAGTAGTCCACATAGTACCACTTTCCATCCTGCTGATGTGAAATCAGCAGAGTGACTCAGTCTTGGACTCATGTTGCATTTCACTGTACATTTTAAAAAAATATTAAATGATTAAATATTTTGTGCTGAATGAAACCTTAATATAATCTAATATAAATGGGTCTTACATATATTTTATCTGTCCAGGAGACTAAATAATGGGGCATATATTTCTTGGAAGACATGCCCTATTGGTAGTTCTGTCCTGCTTTTATTTCTCAGTCATTGGATGTTCCTGTCATTATTTTGGTTCTCGTCTCTTGAACAACCCATTTTGTTCGCTTCGTTGTCGATGCTGTTGTTGTTGAGAATGTCGTCACAATCTGTTTGCTCCATCAAGTTGAATCGCTCTGCAACACAGTGGGCTGTAAGTCTAGCTTCAGGGTCATGATCCCAGCATTCTGTGATGGTGTCACACAGAAAATGCATTCCCTGAAACGAACAAGAAGAAAACTATTATGTGACTTCTGTGTTAAAGTAGATCATACTTTAAATGCATAAAAGTAAGATTCCTAGACCTAATTCTTTTACTGGAAATTTCATGCAAGTAAATTTGCAATATTTAGAAATTCTAATTTCATAACGGTAATTTGGTGGATAGGATTTACTCAGATGCACCGTAAATATGGTGGGATGAGGGTTCAGTGCAAATGCAGTAGCATCTATGCTTAATTGTTGCAAAGAGACAGCTTGTCTCTTGTCAACCTTTCTCCAGTCCCTTCCTAGTGTAAATTTCCATTTGATAAAACTATAACACTCAACCATTCTGCAATCTTAGTTCCACAGTTAAAGCTACAATTTGGTTGAAAGTGTCATATTTTCTTGAAGAGGCAGCTGCTTGAATTCAAGAATATTCCCTCTCATCCACTCCAAAATCAAAATCCAAAAACAAACCTTTCAGTGCCTACCATCGTACCTTGACAATGATAGATCCTCATTATCTCCATCTTATCCCCAACTTCCTGCTAAGGTGTCCTAAAATGGTCTTCACTTATTCTAGGTTGGAAATGATGATTTTTTTCTCCCAATGCAAAATTTCCCATATAAATAATCTAGGGCAGGGCTTTTCAACCTTTTCACCCAATGTACCACTTTTAGGAAATGGCAATATCCAAGTACCACCAATCGCCTAGCAAGATGTCAAAAACTTGATGACAAAAAAAAAAAGGGAAAAAGTGATAAACTACAGGTAATCCTCGACTTACAACAGTTCGCTTAATGACTGTTCGAAGTTACAATGGCACTGAAAAAAGTGCCCCCCAAGACACAGCCAAGCAAGACTCCTGCCTGCCCACCCGGCAGCGCTCTTCCTCCTGTCCGAGGTTTTCATTATTGTGAGCATTTCTGTTGAGGATTGGCAGCAGGGTGGGGTGGGGGGGTGTTTGGTTTTTATTCCCCCCGTCTGCTGGGTGGTTGCAGTAGGTTTTGGTCACTTCACATGACCCTGGGACACTATGACCGTCATAAATAAGAATCAGTTGCCAAGTGTCTGTAAATCACAAGACCCTGGAGATGCTGCAACATTCCAGCTGATTGGCGCTTCTTCTGGGCTCAGCAGAAGTGCCAGGATCAGTGCTGCTTTCCAGCTGATTGGTGCTTCTTTAGAGCTCAGCAGAAGTACCAGGATCTGCGCTGAGCTCCAGCTGGATCCTGGCATTGATCCTGGTGCTTCCACTGAGCCCTGACAGCCCTGCAGCTCCAGGCATCTCTCGCTCAGGCTTGTGCGGTGCTGCCACCGGTTCAGCTCATTCCCCTCCCCCGCTACCACTCTTCTAGGATAGTCGCGTACTACCTGCCAGGTGCCAATGTACCACATGATACCTGTACCACTGGTTGAAAAGCCCTGATCTAGGGTGCTTCATTGATAGGTTTGGAGAGGACACCTCCGGGACCATGATCCGCACAGGTCCAACTCAACTCATATTTTTCAGGGCAGGTTCTTTGGTTCGTGGGTGCTGCAGGAGTCAAGGCTATGTGGAAAGCACATGTAAGTGGCTGTCTGAATGCAGACGGCAGAAGAAATGACCACGAAGGATACAAGAAATAGCCCCTATCAAGGCAACTGTCAGATACATGGAACTTGAGTCCAGGTCAAGAAAATAATTTGAAAAGAAAATAATATATCACTCAAAGATAAAGGCTGGGGGGCAGCACATTCAGACTTGCAAGATTTTGTTCTTGTAATTGCTACAATAAAAGTAGTGCTGACTTATTCAGCATCTATTTTTTAGCCTGGTCTACTTTGTAAAGCTAACGTTGACCTGGAGCCCCAGCTGAAATCAGTCTTCAAAATTCTTCACCATCTATCTTAAGCACACTTGCATGTGTGTTGTACGTGTATGCATGTGGATAGATTCAAAAGCCACGCTTCAGTGAAGAAGCAAGGCAGAGTATAAAAACATATTAAGCAAATGATAACTGATTATTTGGTGCCTTTGAGTCTATGTGGATTCCAAGTGACTGCCTGAACTAGTCCCTGCAGTTTTCTTGCCAACATTTTATACTTAAAGTAGGACTAGAACTCAAAGTCTCCAAGTTTATAACCTGCTACCCTAATCATTGCATAAAATAAGCTGCCTTTTAAAAGCCTTATGTGCATATATGTGAATATATCAACTGTTCTCCCTCTAGCACACAAATAGGCTTTCAGATACTCTGCTTCCTCATCCTACTAGTAATAGAAAGCATGAAAATGGAAAAGGGTGGCTGTACTGAAAAGGGAAGAAAAATGTAGAAGCAAAACTGGACAGAGATGAAATAAGGGACACTTCTGTATTAGCAAAAATTTAAAATTCAGCAGACAAATAGCTCTTTTGAAGCAGAAAGGCTAATCTCTAAAGGCATCCAAGCATTAATTCATAGGTACCTGGGAGTGTCCTTTGTTTTTCAAATCTTCGGCTGCCTGAAGGGACTTTACTATAGTCCCTATTGAAAAAAAAAGTGATGGGAAGAGATGATAGTTTTGAAAGAACAAAAAAATTAAAAACAAAATAACTAGCTGTACCCCCACCGAATTCTGCAATCTAGCTTTAAAATGTGAGTCTTGGTACTGACAGTTAATTTTAGGACAGAATTTTTGCAAAAAATTCTAGCCAACATGACAAAATGATACGGATTACTTTATTTCTGCAGTTACATATAAGAATCAGAGAATGGTAGCAAAACTGTCTCTTAATCCGTTATTGTAAGCAAGGAGAGTTTTACGTTCTTTCTTCCTTTTCAAACTGCACTTCTTTATTTTGCTTGCTGAACGCATGCTCAAACTATCTTAAATTTCTGCCAAAGTCAACTGCATATTCTACCTTCCCACTGTGATGTCCAGCACAACTTATCCACATCCTGCTATCAGGACAGACACGGAGTGTTTTTCCCACTCGGATTATACCCAAGTTTAACATGGTAGATACAGAATGCATTCAGAAAGTATTCAGACCCCCTCCACTTTTGCCAATTTGTTATGTATTATGTGATTCTACAGTTGTTGAAATACAATTTTTTTCCCTTCATTAATCTACACTCAGTACCCTATAATGACAAATTGAAAACAGAAGTTTAGAAATGTCTGTAAATTGGAGCTTCCGGTGGGAGGCGACGGCGATGGCGGCTAGCTTTTAGCCGTCCAGCTGGGGAAGTGTCAGAGCCGCGGAGCGCAGCGCGCATCAGCTGGCCCGCGGCTCGGAAATCCCTTCCCGGGCAAAGGGAAGGGATAGAGAACGCAAGAGTAGAGGTAGAACCCCTGAACCCCCTCTGGATTTATTTCTAGAGGGGGTGAAAGGAGTGTTCCCTCGGAGCTCTTGCTGATCTCCGCCTCCCAGCTGTTTTTGCTTCCTTGGAAGCAAAAGAAACCGCCGCTTCTATCTCCGTGTTTACAGCATTTTGGTGAGTAATTTTTAAACGGACGGAGCAGTTTAAAGGACTTTTTCTTATATTTTAGGTGTTTATTTTTTTATCTTTTGATTTTTACTATTTTTCCTCCTTTTCTTTGTTATACTAGTGAAAGGACTTAAGATGGCGTTTTGAAAGTGTCGGAGTTTTTTTTTCCTTTCTCTTTTGTTTTACTTTCCCTTTTTAAGGATTGTTTTTTGCTTTTGCTTTTGCTTTTGGCTTAGAATTTTTTTTTTGAATTGTTTGCTCTTTTATTACTTATTCTTGGGATTTATTCTGGACTTTTAATGATTATAGTTTGTCTCTTTTTAAAAATTCTTTTTTTCTTTTTTTCCTCCTCCCTTTTTGGCTGGAGGGGAAAGGGAAGTGACAATTGTGCTTTTTAAAATGGCTTCAAAGAGGCAGCAGCCTTCCTCAGTACCTAAGGTTATTTCTTCTCCTATAACTTCCACTGCACAGCTACAACAACAATCTAAACATGCACCACCGGCTCAGCCACCACCCTCCCCTCCTCTACCTGGACTTTCAGTGCAAGAGGTTAGAGGCATAATGGGAGAGATTGTAGTTCAAATGAGAGAGGAAATGACTCAATTTGTTTCACAGATTAAATCAGAAATTAAATCTGATCTCAAAGAAGAGATAACGGGGATAAAGTCTAAATTGCAAGAAAATAATAATGAATTACGACAAGATATACTGGCAGCTGTTTCAGGTTTGGCTACTGTGGTGGTTAAGCTCGATGCAAGGCTTGAGGAAGTGGAAGACAAAGTTGACTCTTTAGATGACAAAATTCAAGACGTGGAAAGGAAGGTGGACTCCTCACAAGAAGATATTTTGATGTTTCAGTACAGACAAATGGAGTATGCTCTGAGGATTAGAGGCCTCAAGGAAGATATGAATCAAGATTTGATGGAGGTGGTTCTTAGTGATCTGGCGCTGGCTTTGGATATGGATAAAGGAGAATTACAGAGAGAAGTAGAAAAAATTTATAGACTCAACTCCTGGATTGCTAAGCAGAAGAATTTGCCCAGAGATGTGGTGATTTACTTTACAAAGAAGTCCCTGCGGAATGAGATTATACAAGCTTTTTACAACAAAAGATTTCAGATTGCCGCCCAAGATGTCATCATTCTAAAGGAAATCCCATCTAAAATTTTAAGAAGTAGGAAAGACTTTGCTTTTTTAACCAATGAGCTTAAAGCTAGATCGATGCCATTCAGATGGGAAATTCCGATGGGTATCGTTTTGAGCCATGCTGGGACACGTTACAGATTGAACACAGTTGACAAAGCTAGAGATTTCTATACTTCGGTCCTGAGTGCAGGCTCAACTTCATCTGGTCGGAAATCTTTGAGTGCTAAGGAACCTGAGCAGCAATCTGAGGCACTAGATTTGGTTTCCGCAGGGATGATAGAAGTGGCAAAGCAACGCCAAATGGAGGCTAAAGAGCAGAGGATGACTCGTGCAGCTTATAAGCGTAAAGAGAAAGAGCAACGTAAAAAAGAGCCCAAAGAGAATTCTCCTGGAAGTGCATCACCGCCGGTGGG